TTATCACTCCCTATGGCCGCTTCAAGTTCGAGCGCCTTCCCTTCGGCATAACGAGCGCGCCTGAGATATTCCAGCGCCGGCTACAAGGTCTACTCAGCGATATTCCCAACGTAGCAGTGTTCATAGACGACATCATCGTCTATGCTTCATCGATGGCTGAGCATGATGCTGCTCTGCTCGCCGTCGAGAACCGACTCCGCGATGCCAGTCTGACACTGAATCCGAACAAGTCTAAGTTCAGATGCACGTCCCTAAAGTATCTGGGCCATCGGATCAGCGACAAGGGTGTCCACCCTGACCCAGTTAAGCTGGATGCCATCGAGCGCCTCGCAGCACCAACGGATGTGGAAGAGCTCCGTCGTGCACTTGGACTCTTCACGTACCTCTCCAAGTTTCTGCCGTCATTGTCGACCGTAGCCGCCCCACTGCGCGAGCTACTCCGGTGCGATGCGACATGGCAATGGACCGAAGCACATGAGCTAGCTTTCACTGAGCTCAAACGCCTAGCTGCCTCAGCCCCGTGTCTCGCGTACTACGACCCGTCTGCACCGACCATCGTCACGGCTGATGCGAGCAGCTACGGATTGGGTGCTGCACTGCTACAGTACCACGACAATGAGTGGAAGTCGGTCCGCGTACGCCTCACGCACCATGACAGCAGCAGAGAAACGGTATGCCCAGATCGAGAAAGAGCTCCTCGCCTCGGTCTGGGGATGTGAACACTTCCATCAATACCTCTACGGAGCGCCCCGATTTACCATTCAGACGGACCACAAGCCGCTGGTCCCACTAATGAACACGCGTGACCTCGACCGAGTACCTCTACGCTGCCAACGTCTACTGTTCAGACTCATGCGCTATGATGTACAAGCGGAGTATGTGCCTGGCAAGAACATGGTTCTCGCCGACACGCTGTCCAGAGCTCCTCTTCCTGACACGCCAGCAACCGAATCCGACCTACACAGTGACTCGGAAGCCACCATCGCCGCTGTCCTGTCGTCTCTATGCAGTCCTACCAAGCAACACGCTCTCGATACAGCCACTGCTGACGATCCAGTCCTGCAACAAGTAATCCAGCATACCCTCCATGGCTGGCCGACCAAGGTCAACGCAGACCTGGAAGCCTACCGCAATGAACGTGGCTCGCTCTCAGTTCACGACGGTCTGCTGTACCACGGATTTCGGATCGTAGTCCCGGCATCCGAGCGCAAAGCTACACTTGCCACTTTGCATGACGGCCACCAAGGCATAACCAAGTGCCTGGCCCGTGCGAAATCCTCCGTCTGGTGGCTAGGTATCACACGTGCCATTTCAGAATGCGTGCAGAACTGCCTGACCTGCACCAAGCATCGTTTTCAGCCGCCAGAGCCTCTGTCTCCAACTGTGTTTCCCTCTTTGCCATGGGAGAGAATAGGAGTCGACCTCTGCCAACATGACGGTCAGGAGTACCTCATTGCTGTCGACTACTTCTCCAGGTACATTCACGCCATCCCGCTACGGAAGACTACCTCTGGAGCCGTCATCAAGGAACTCCACGAGCTGTTCGCCATCCATGGCATCCCTCAAGTCCTTGTGTCGGACAACGGTCCACAGTTCGCAAGTGCTGAATTCGCCGCATTCACAGCCCAAATGCAGCTCACCCACCGCACCAGTAGCCCGCACTACCCACAGAGCAACGGTGAAGCTGAGCGAGCGGTTCGAACATTCAAGCGTCTCCTGAAAACCAACAACAGCCTCAACGATGCCTTACTCAACTACAGGTCAACACCCCTCGCAAATGGCTACTCGCCAGCCGAGCTCCTGTTTGGTCGTCGTCTACGCACACACCTCCCATGTACAGCGGAATCCCTCGCTCCAAGTTGGCCTGATATTTCCAAGCTAAGGAAGTTCGAGGTGAGGCAGAAAGACCGACAGAGTGAGACGTACGACTCGTCACACCAAGCACAATCTCTGCCACCATTGACCCAAGGCGACCGAGTCTGGGTGCAAGATCTCGCTTCCGAAGCCGTAATTGCAGACCGCGTCTCCGACAGATCCTATATTGTCACGACCGACAACCTGTCCGAGTACCGCCGCAACCGTCGCCACGTCAAGTTGCTACCTGATGTGCAACCAACACCAACACCAACACCGCAGTTGAATGTCACTACACCTGCAGAACCTCCATCCACTGATGTCGAGTTCCAGCCTACCTTGCGCCGATCAGCACGTCCATCCCGGCCGCTGAACAGACTCGACCTGTAAACGCATTAGTCATTGCTCATGCTATGATCACTCCAGTCGCTGACGCTGATGATCGTGAACTGCATGTAGTATTTGTGTGTCTCTACCCTATCTCCTCTGTTTGTATATGACTAAATATTCTTCGAGCTGTTACCTATGTAACCTCTCTCTCTTCGAACATAAAAAAGGGAGATGTTGTGGTCCCGTTGTTGTACCCGATCCCTTCCGGGATCGGTTACCCATATGCATTCCCGTACTGTGTACATATATGGATCCTGGTTGTGCATCTTTATCTTTCGTTGTTCTATGTAAACGAGAGAGCTTGGAAGCTCAGGGCCCTACGCTATGCTTTTATGCTTTTTTGCCTAGCTCATCGTACATGTTATAAGAACTGATGGAATTGTCTTTTTCCGTTCATTGGCCACATCACTGTATTGCAAAAACGTTTCAATCGGTTTGAATATTATGAGTTAGGCAAAAGTATTTGCAGAATTTATTGCGGATTGTTGTTTCTCTAATAATCATCTACTTTTGTTTTGCTCCTTTAATTTTTATCTCCTTATATTGTAAATCAACAAATTTTGGCCGATGAGAAATAGAAACCTCTCGATTAGAGAGGTTAAGATGCACGTTATTTCCGACGTGACGCGCAGTTTCACGTCAAATTTGAAATCGATCGGTATTTTTGCTCTCACATGCATCCATTGCTCAATCATGCATCATTTGCCTATATGACAAATGTTGGCCTGCGATTTACTTTGTCCGGTTGGTACCAAGCGGCGAAATCAGCGAAATTTAATCGCCAGCGAACATTAGTTGATTTTAATACAGGAATCGGATTTTCTGGCCTTTTTGTAGTAATACATCTACATTGACCTGTTGAGCCAATGACGACGCCGAATGCATGGTTGCCTGAGGAGCACATTACATAACTTTACAGTCTCCTAAAATACGTATCCTGTCCGACGGCAAAAGAGGCTGCAGATTTAGTTTTTCTGCGCGTCGACGGGATGTCTGCGACGCGAAAGTTCAGCTCGCGTTATTTGGCTCGCACGTCGAAAAAATCAACGCGAGTGACCTGCTGCTCACGTCGAAATTTGGACATTACATAACTTTACAGTCTCCTATATAAATACGTATCCTGTTCGACGGCAAAAGAGGCTGCAGATTTTGTTTTTCTGCGCGTCGACGGGATGTCTGTCCTGACGTTTACTGGGACCGGCGCTGACTCTGCCGATCACGGCGTTCTGGACTCGACAGGATGTCTGTCCTGACGTTTCCTGGGACCGGCTTAGACTCTGCCGATCACGGGCGTTCTGGACTCAACGGGATGTCTGTCCTGACGTTGCCTGGTACCGCCGGACTCTACCGACCACGGGCGTTCTGGAGTCGACGGGATCTCTCTTCCGACGTTTCCTGTGACCGGCACTGAATCGCTCGTTCACGCTTATTTTGGAGACGACGGGATCTCTCTTCCAAAGTATGTTTATGCTGACGCATCCTATCACCTTATCGGCGTCTATTCTAATTTAATTTCCTCCTCGTCTCCCTATTTCTTTCCAAATCCCACTCTACATCAGGGAGTCGTATGCATAATACGACGAATATTGGTACGGTACGGGACAGATACAGGAGCCCGCAAATATTGTGGACAGCTGTTATGTACAATCCTGTAGAGCCTTTGTAGTCACAGATACGGGACAGATACGGGACAGATACGGGATAGCGCCAGGCGTGACACAAACAAACAAACAAACAAACACACAAACAAACAAATACCAAATTAAAGCTGTGTGGACCCTGGCTAGCGCCAGACGTTACTGAAGTAACGTCTTCTGCATAGCTACGGGAATAAACTTTAGTTGTTGTCTGGGACTTGTGGAGTGAAGTTGATCTATGGAGTGCGGGAACTAACTTGATGTTCACTCAGGAACATTACAGCCCACACTCAAAATGTCCAGGAACCGAATTCGAGAGAAACCCCTTTCCTACTTGTAAATCTAAAACTTTCATCAACAGAAACTAGTCCGATGTACAACAGTAGAATACAGTCCAATGAGCATAGTCTCCTGATGATCGCGTAAGAACCTTCGGCAAGAAAATCTAGAGGAGAGATGCACAGATTGTTTCCACTGAACCTTGTACATGGTGGTAGCTTCGCTGAATGCAACTCTACATCCTGCTTTGTGAGACTGTGCAATTTCACTTTCCGCTTTTGAGCCCAGAAAAGGCCAAGGAGAGTAAATTTCAAATCCGGCCAGGTTTCACTAATTTAGGACATGACATGACATTGCACTCATGGCAAAATGTATGTAGAAGCAGGTCAAACATCCAGATTTTTCAAAATTCAAGTAGGCTTTAGCCTCAATTCGGACAAAAATTTGTCTTTCAAAACCAGCTGGACGATTTTGAATTTTAGGGTTTTGCGTCGGCGGCAATGGACGGCTGGGATCGTCAACTGTGCAACAAAGAAGTTGAGGCCAAAGGGAAAGATTTATTTTCTTGCGCATGCTTTGTGTATGGTGTGACGTCATCGTCAGAGTCATGCCGCTACAGAATAATACGGATCGCAGACCATGATCAGGAAACTTTTCTCGGGATGCTGAGAATGAAACAAAACTCAGCTGCCCCGAAATGGCAGCCGAATGATAGAATAGGTGTACCAAGCTCTTCATGAAATTTTACTGTGGAAGCTTGAAACTTTAATTCAAAATTTGGGATGGAATCTTCAAATTTCGTCTTATCACCTTTCATTATCCACTGTTCTCTATTTGCAGCTCCACGAGTTGCCCCGTCAGATATAAAATTCAGGTCAAGCACAGCTACAACTGTCCGTATCAGCTGGTCGGCAGTGAACCCATACGAGTTAAATGGAGTACTGGTGGGCTACAATGTTACATGCTGGAAAGGTACGAACCTTATAACGTATGTGCACACTAAAACAGAGAACGCGAACGTGACTGGCTTGAAGTTCAACTCCAAGTATAAAGTTTCAGTTGCAGCCATCTCATCAGGAGGGCTAGGTGTTTACTCAAACTACACCAATGTCACAACATCACAGAATGGTAAGTGTCGTGTTTTTTATATTCCGGTACTATGTGTTGTCAATTCTTTTATCGACTACATTGATGCACATGCATTCCACAAGTCCAAATATTATTCCTTTATGCTGAATTTTCATCATCTTTCTCTCCGCTTAGGAGCTGCGTTTGCACCTTCAGCCTAGAGGGTGGTGGTTCTTGATCCACGTACACCAACATATCAACATAGATACAGACAACGGAAGCAGGAGGGTACAAAGTGAGGGGTAAAAGGTCACAGCCAGAGGTGACTAGCAACACTGGTGAGACTCAAAAAACTGACTGAAGAAGTCAGACAAAAAGAACAACAACAACAACAACAACAACAACAGAAGAAAAATATATCACACGCTATATTCACAAGAGGAGAAATGTTGTTGCGCAAGCAATCTTTTCTCGCCTATCTCGCTCCGCTCGGCCGACCAGAAATAATAACATTCATGCAGATACGGACAACTCAATCTAGATGAGCCTCACACAATCGTGCAGAATATTTGGAAGCAAAGTTACGTTTAAAAGGAAGTTGGTTCCTCCCAACACTTGAGCTCGCTCTTTTCCCGTCAACTTGACTTGACACTGGACTTCAAGCCCAAGTATTGTGTGCAACCCACCTTCTTTTGATTATCCCTGAAGTTTCTACAACTGACGAGGAGACAACAGTAGTAAAATAGCAATGAAAAATACTAATTGTGCACTCATAACCATGTATAAAACAATTAAAATGAAACAATGCCAGAACGTTTTCCCGTGACTATCATCCGTGGAAGATCGTCACATAGTAAGAATCACTAAAACAACCAGTTATAATTATAGCTAGAATAATATGAAGAGCTTGAGAACAAAACACGGTATATCCATTTTGGCACTTTTCGGGTAAAGTCAAAATTCTGTTCTGACATTGTCTTACATCCCATCCCAATGGAAATTTGGATTTAGTACCAGAAGGAATACTGGACCCCAAACACCATGTCATCAAAAATCCACACCTCTCAGATTTTGATATTTTTTAGTGTTGAAACGATCTCACCGGATACTCGTTAGCTCGCTCGCCAGAAACTCGGCTCGTTTGTGCGGCCAGCTCGTTTGCACTAACGAACACCGTACACCGTACTTCGTACACATGGCAGTACATGTCGACCGGGGAGTCGTAAAATATTTTATCCCATGGTACGGTACTATAGGCCTGTTTCAGCCAATCAGGAGCCTTGCTGACCGGGAAATAATAGCCAATACAATCCCGCGCGGGATGATATTCATTATTAACTGGGTTCACTTTTACCGTACCTACTACGGTGCACCCTGCATTGGCATGCCCCCACCCCCTCTCGATTCGATGCAATGCATCTTGCCGCCACTGGAGCCTTTCGATCAGAACCCAGCGACAAAATGCACGACACAGAACCGTGAGAGGGTGGGAGCATGCCAATGCAGAGTTCACCGTCGGTACAGTAAAAGTGAACGGAGAGAACTTACCTCCGCGACTACGTCCAAAACCAGATTCCACACAAACAAGCAACGAACTCCAATCACTATTCAACTCAACACTACGACACAAAGGAGACTTCGAAGTGCATCTGTTCTCATTCACTCTTTGTAAACTCGAAAACTACACAAAGTATCAACATCCGAGTGAAAATTACTAATTGCAAGGAGAGATATCGTAACAACTCGAAAAGTACAAGACGTGAAAGTGAGAGGAAAAATCTTGTACAGAATATCCAACAGTGTGAAAGAAGAAGAGCTCAGCAATCCATGTGTGATGTAGATAAGATATGGATGCAAGATGCGACCCGCAGTGATTATCATGACATAGTATCCAGTACGATTACCACAAGAACAATTTAAAACGTAGATGCTGCTACAAATCCAGTATGCCTATAATATAACAAGATCAACGTTCTTCTGATTACATAGTGTCCGAGAGTGATACAACGAAGAGTCTTGATAAAACGAAATGCACTTTACTCACTGGTGCCAATGTCCGAAGATATGTACAATGTGGTTACTGCCTGCACGGACAGTGTTCAGCAAGGATCCCAAACCGTTGAAAGTTCCACGCCGATCCAATGACAAGGAAGTCAGCACCAGCCTCCATAATGACGTGGTATCTCGCCGTGACTTGAAGTATGGCCCTTACTAGTAATACTTTGAACCAAATGACTATGTATCATAACAGTGCAATCTTCGTCAATTCTCTAGTCCAACTACTAAAATGCAACTTGTCTCCCGAGCTCCAGCGCTCTCAAACCTTGACTGGATTGAAAAGAAAGGCAGCATCTTGTTTTTGGTATAGCTATACCTTGGTAATTGTATTCAGAACGCAGTTGTGTCGATCCCCAAAATGCGTAGATGTACCTGGGATAAGTAGGATATTGACCCGCGTACTCGGGTGTTACCGTACCCTCATATCATCCCTCCTGCTACGCAGTCGGGATGATATTCGGAAGGTAACACCCTCGTACTTGGGTAATATCCTATACTTCAGACATGGCACGTGCTTGTTGCCAGGAGACGGCCAATGAGCGGCCAGAATAAGCAGTCAAGATCAGTCGATCTTGACCGCTTAGCCGGTCAAGAACAGCAGTCGTACAGCATCGCGCCGCACATGCGCATTTACCATTTTTCGAAGTCCTTGCCTTGGGCAACATCTCCGACGACGAGGACTAAAAATTTGTCTCCCTTCTCCAAAATGATTATATACTCACTACTGTCTTGAACGTCTGCAGGGAGACCAGAAACGCCAACCGACCTTGCAGCTGGTCCTGTTTCTCGCGGCGAAACGTACACAAGGGAAGCAGACCTCCACAAGTACATTAATTTTTGTACCTGCCCTAAGGCTGCAGCTTCTCAGCACTCGCATTTGAACCTTACTCTGGCAATCATCTAACTCGAAGAACGGGTTTATTCCGAATCCGTCATATTACTGGTACTAACGTTACTACTGCCTTCACTGTACTTGAATACTTTCATCTCAGAACTGGAAAGTTCCGACCAAACAAATAGCTGTTTGCTATGGTCACTGCACACAATGTGACATCAACTCATTTGCCGTCAAGGCTTTCTTTCTGTTTGAATCTCTCTACTGACAGTAGTACTGTACTATACTGGGCCTTGTTGTTTGTGAGGTGGGCCTTGTCCGAAGCGCAATCCTACACAGTTGCGTCGGGCATGCCGCTCTGATCAGTCCCTCGGTCATGTGAGTGATCTTGCCCTCGGTCGCGACGCCCTCGGGGCTACGCCCCTTGGGCGTCGCGACCTCGGGCAAGATCACTCACAGACCTCGGGCCTGATCAGGCGCATCATGCCCTCGCAACTGTGTAGGATTATGTATTTACAACTCCTGGTCGATCGAGAGTCCAGTCCCGATCCCGCGCAAAGTGAAAATCACTCGCAGTTACAGGTGACTGCCTGCACGACACTTGAGTTGTTTCAGTTGTCGTTGCAGCTTTGGTGGACTCTACTGATGTCTTGTTCCGCATCTGCTGACCTGTCGCAGGATATGCTTCGGTCATCTCTCCATTCGAGTAAAAGTAATTAGTTACGCTCAGTCGTTTGGAAGTTTTCTCCCGCGATGCAGCGAAGACCAGGGCTACTTGCAATCTTTGCAAAACGGTCTATTCTTACAAAGGCTAATCGACGACGGCGCTGAAAAGACATCTCGACACCAAACAGCAGTCCGATGTGAAGCAGCAGCAACCCCAAATGCCGGCGGTGATAATTATTTGAACCAGCTGAAAAAAATCAAACTTAGAAAAAAAATTATTCAAAAAAATAATCATATTTGCCACATCAATGAAACCAAGAGTACATAAACCAGAGTGTGCAACTGTTAGGCCTCCGCGGAATATGCCGGCATAATTTCGGGAATTATCGGTGTGATTTTTAAAACGGGAATTATTGGCAATTTTTGTGGAATATTCGGTAAAATTTGAGCAATGCCCCCCTTTTTTCATTTTATTCTTCATTTATAACACCCTGATTTGTACCAAAAAGCTCATGATCCTGAAGTAACATTAGTTGATCGCCCGGTACGGTATTTCAAAAAAGAAAGAAAAAAAAGCTTCCAGCCGAGTTCGAGTTTCACGCGAACCGTGATTTTTTTGCCCCTATAAATGGCAAAAAACCCCTACGCGGTACGGTATCTGCAAAAAAAGGGAAGAAAAAAAGAATTATTGTGAGAATTATTGGTGGAATTACGGGAATAATCGGTCGAAATTTTGAGCAATGCTCAAAAGAATTATCGGTAAAAATACGAGCATATTCCGCGGAGGCCTAGCAACTGTGCATATCAGATCTGAAACAGCGCAGTTCGTGCACTACGTCACCCTGATGAGATCAGCCAAGCCGCGACTTGCGTACAGCTCAAATTTTCATGTTTCATAGTCCGGAAATCAGCCAAGTTTGCTTGATTTTAGACGTCCTGTTTCAGGATTTCGGTGTTTTGTGTGACTGTGTACGCTGCGTACATCCACCGACAAGTAAAGTCACCAGGCTGTCCGTCTCAAAAAACCGAAATCAGGACAAACTCAGTGAACTGCACCACCGCGACTGGTTACGCAACTTTTCACCGTACCTGTGGCTTACCATGCCGTCAGAAATGACGTAGTGCACGAATTACGCTCCCACAGGAACCATCCCGAGTTGCACACTCTGGTTTATGTACTCTTGATGAAACTCGTTAGCTCGCTCGATAGCTTGCTCGTTAGTGGAACTGATTGCTCGTTTGTTATAGATACGCTCGTTTCAACACTAATATTTTTTGAATTTTTCACCTTCTTTTTGGCAAAACGCAGTATATCCGAGTGAGAATATAGGCACAAGACGCCCTCTCCCAGCAGGAGACAAAACAACTGGCTCACTCATACCATCTAATGTCACCTCCGCCACGCTGATGTCTAAGACAAGAGCTTTGACAGCGTCAGGGAGGAAGAGAAAGCTAATTTGACAGCCATAAGTCGAGTCAAGCGCTCGTTCAAAAAAATAATTCGAACTAGTTTGAAAAAATGACAAAAAGCAGTGTTCTGCGCGTTCTGAACACCACCCGCGCTGCCCACGACTGTATAACTATGACAACTGGCGTATACTGCGTTTTGAAAAAAATCCTAGCCGGATATACAGCGTTTTGCTCTGAAAGCGACTGTTTGAATGGGGTTTTCTGTAGGATGTACTGCGTTTTCGCCAAAAATGACCTCGCCATCAAATTCAGCTCGATGTGATCTTTCAGTTGGGTCAAAAATCTCGATTTTGAAGATTTGGCGCATACAGCGTTTTGTTCTCAAGCTCTTCATATGAAAAGAAGAAGAGGTTGGTGCGACTTCGGCGATAGTAGGGGTAGAGTGTGTTGCTCCCTACATGGGAGCTCGCGGTTTTACTGCCGACTTGAATTCTCACTTAACCGCGCGGTCCCATGTAGGGAGCAACACACTCTTCCCCCGATATGAAAAGAAGCGTGAGAATGCAGCAGCTCGCGGTTATGCATAACGCGTGTAGTGTGAACTTATTCAGTGGATCTGAGAATGGTAGCAGTAGATGAATGTGGCAGCTGTGAGTGCGTGTGGACAAACTGGTGAGTGCGTATTATTTGAAAAGTGTGAGTGCTACAACATTTTCTTTTTGCTTGCATAGCACAGGGTCACGTATACGAATATAAACAGCTTCCAACACCTGGAACTGCTTAAAGAAACGTGCGCAACAAATAACACTGAACCAGGAATCGTCAAACAACTTACGACAATCCGGACTGGACACCAAATGCTTGTAGATGGCAGACTTCCTCTTGTCGATATCAAACTCCTCCTCGTCAGTATCACTCTCGTCCTCCACTTCCTGATCCTGCTCACCCTTGCTGTCCTCCTGACCATCCTGTTCACCCCCATCATCATCCTCCGCCTCCATCTCCTCGCGCCACCGCTTCTTTCTCCTTGACGCGTTCACTGCTGCGCCCGTACTTTCACCTGCCTCTCCTGGTCCGACCTTCTCGATTTTTCTCAGCCGCGCCTTCGCTAGTCTCTGGCTTCTCCCCAGATCCGTTTTGATCCCGAAACCACCAGTGCAGTGACATGGACAAGAACGTTAGCAAAATATCACCTAACTTGCACGTGAGCTTGGTTACCAGCGGGCGTGGGGGGGGGGGGGATACTATTCAAGAGAGGGCTTTATTTTTTCACTGGCTCTTAGAGACTGTGGCACTATTCGAGACAGGGCACTGTTCAAGATTTTTTGGAATTCTTTATTCTCACGATGGCACCATCGCCAATAAGAGATAAGTTTATGAGAAGGGGAGATGCTGTGGGTGAGGCTGTGGGTTATGCAGTTGGAAAGTGATTTACATCACTTTGAATTTTACAAGTATGGGAAAGGGTGAGCGCTGCAGGAGCAGATTGAGTTAATAAGCAGTGAGTAGATTTCTCTTAGTGTTTGAAAGCAGGTGGGGAGGGAACATTACGAATGCTAGCAGGGAGGGCATTGTAGTATTCTAGGGACTTGTACAGTGGGGAGTCTTTACAGCGGTCGGTTCTGGTAGGTGGGAGGCGCCAAGTGCATGTGTGTCGAAGGCTACACTGGGGCGTAACTTGAGCGGGGTGTTGAGCATGCGTATGGGTTGTGGTGCATATTGGTAATTTATGGAGTGTGCAAGAAGGGTGAGCTTTACTTTGTGACGAGAAAACTTGTGACATTGTCCGCCATTTGAGCCAATGCAGCAGTGCTGAATGATACGGAGGAGTGAAGAGGGGGAGACGGAGGCAAATTCTGGCCGCCTTGCTCTGGATTCGCTCAAGGCGGTCACGGGCTGTGATTGAGAGCGGGGTGACAGCAATGCATGCGTATTCAATTATAGGCATGTATACGCATGATAGGTGTTTTGTAAATAAAAGACAGAGACAGTGACTTAGTGTGTAGAATTGATTTTAGCCTAAGGTGAAAATTGAATATGTTTACAGCTTTCTACCGCACAAAGTGAAGATAGAGCTCTTATCGCGCGAGTACGGTAAATCATGCAACAGAAAGGGCCACAAAATCAGGAGAAGCAGCATGGTAAGTGGTGAGCATGGGTGAGTGGGCAGCAGGGGAGCGCCTGAAAACAATCATACATTCCTAGCCACGACCGCTCAACTGGGCTAGAGGAAAACCCGCCTTCCGGCCAAAAAAATATCTATGTCATTACTTCCTGCCCCGCCCGCTGCCAGTCGGACCCAAGAATAGAGAAAACAAGAAATTGTATGTAATATACGGGGTATGTCATGATCGTAAGCCACAGACATCGGCATAGAATATCAAAAAGTCCAGTGGAAGACCCCCTTGAAACCGGGGTTGGTGGGCCGGCAACTTCAATTACCACGAGGAAAACAAAGACCACGATGGCAGGTTCAATGGAGTTGCGCAGAACAAGAGCAAACGCACGAAAATATTGGTGAGTGAAAAGTACGCTTTTTGCTCTCTTTCGCTCAGCCGTGGAAAACAAAACTTCACCATTGTGGTCAGCAGCCTCAAAACCAAAATTGAGGCAAAAATAAGTCTGTGACAGTTCACGTGTAACAGAACATAAGTGTTATCAAACATTATCCTTTATCCAATATCCCGAATCGCCAAAGAAGTTGGATACGTGGAATTTGGCTGCAGATTGCATACTATTAATTTTATGCATCCTAACCTTACTGAGTTCCCTTCGGGAACGGATACGATAATTTACTTTTTTACTTTTTTTTAACCTTACTTTTACTTCATGCAGAGCTAGCTAGTAGCTACTGACTCATGTGCATGACTTGGTTGGGCTAGCTAGTAGCTACTGACTCATGTGCATGATTTGTTGTCCTGTGGCTTGCAGTTCCACCAACTCCAAATATCACATCTAACTCATCAACTCCAGCAACAATTACTGTGGTGTTTGGCACACTGACTGGTCATTTCACAATTCATCGGTATTGCTGTCTGTACCACCGTGAACTAGTCTCCGGGACTCCATCGCCAACAACCTCTACAACGGTTTGCAGTCAAGTCACAACCATCATACTGAAAAACCTGGAGGAGGATGCAACGTACTCCATAGAGGGGTTTGCCAACAACACTGCCATGAAGATTAGCCCACATACAACGCCATTCAGTCTCAAAACTAAACCCGAAGGTTGGTGATAAGTAGCAATGCCAGTAATGGGCTGAATGGCTTCCTCAATCATAGGATGTTACCTAAGAAATTCTGGTGGTCTGTGCCCCTTTAGAACTATCATTTGAATTGATTTTTGGTAATTACGCAAAATGTCCCTTTCAGGGATAGGGAATGGAATCAAGTGTGTCGTATTCCTCGCCCGAAAAAGACTCATTTTGGTCAGTTCCGACAAAGTAGATTGTGGCCCAATGGGGTAAAAATCATCCAAAACCGTACATGTGCTGAAAACAATTCATGCATCCATGTTTTCCTCGTGCATGGCCACGGATTCCAAAAAATAGAATTTGACGAGAATTTTGCTCTGCCCCCAGGGTGTATTTCCGAGTCAAAATGCCCTATTCCTATCAACTCGTTACATGGAATACGAGCATAGAACGCTATTCCTCACACTTCCTCATTCTTTTCTTCAGGGTGTCTGTGAGCGGTTGGGATGCCATTCTGATCATTCCCCTCAAAGCAGTACAGACAGAGTTAGTTTCCTTATTCATGTCCCCGGTCACTGAAACCCGCAGACTTTGCATGCATGATATTTTACTCAAAATGAGGATGATATTTCATCTAGGGCCTCCACTAAAACGACTGGAAGAAGAAAATTCCTGCATTTTGAGCACGTACTTTTGAAGTGAGAAACCGAATATAGAAAAGCCAAATGTGACTATCATCGCCGCAAGCTGATAGCTAAATGTTCCTGGCTTTTTAACGTTCTGATGTATTTTTGATTCTGACACAGCCCCATCTGAGCCACCGGCATCTGTAAGCATCACCAATGTCAACAGAACATCACTGACAGTAGTATGGAGTGAAGTACCCTTGCTTGGTCGCAACGGTCCAATCACACACTATCTGGTCAAGTACAACAACAGCCATGACCGACGTGTTGGAAGTGATCAGCTCTCACTCACACTTCATCACCTTCAGCCTAACTCAAACTACAACATCAGTGTATCTGCTATAGGTCACGGAGGTCAAGATGGCCCAGCCAGAAGTAGTGGCGTTATAACAACACTCGAAGCTGGTAAGAACAGTAGCTCTTGGTAAATTATCACATTTTTCCTTAGACACCTAGCCGATACCATACCTATCAGCTTATAATCTCAGCAACACACTCTCATCATCCTGCTGTGCATGTAACACACTTCCATGAACAATAAACACTGACTACACAAAATGTCATCATACAAAACCCACATATAACTGCCTATCCTTTGTTTCCTGCCGCAATGCTGTCATCAGTAAGCTAAGTTATAAGGATCTGCCTGTCATAAAGGTTCCCTCAACCCCTTTCTTCCCCAAGAACTCTGGATTGCAACCATGTATGCACTGTGGATTGCAATCATGAACATGTATGCACTGTGGATTGCATGCGCATACGTAGGCACAAAAGAGTGCGACTCTGTACTAGTTTGCTTGTGCATTCCTGCACACAGTTGCACACAAATAGTAATAGACCTGCAGTACATAACCATGCTACACTGCATGTGTGGAGTTATGCTTATCTACGCAACTTTGAATGGTCCTAACCCAGCTGCTCGTCTTCACTGGTTTCAAGCCAGCTATACATGTAACCCTGCTGTGCATGATGGTAGTGATGGAGTGACAGTAAGAGAGAAAAAACACCTTACATGCTTCCCGATGGCACTGTCAGCGGTTGTGGAGTACTAATCTAACATACCTCTTCCTGGTGATTCTGTATATTGCAATATAGTCCCCGATGCGCCAACCGTCAAATGGACTTCAACATCAACCAGTGTGAGGGCAGTAGTGACATCCGAATCACCGTACTGGAATGTTCTTCAGTACTGCATTACAATTCAAGCCACCAAGAGAGTGGACGGCAAATCAATACCTGATGACCTACTTCAACTAGTGAAACACAATTGTACAGATAACGGTATATTTGAATTTCACAATCTTGAGGAATATGTAGCCTACACCACTCGGACCTGGGTCCAAAATGGAAGGGGAGAGAATGGTAGCCCCTCTGTGCAACTTGTTGAGACTAACGAGGGAGGTAAGATCCTTGGTTTCTAGTGACCTGCAGAAGCTGTACTCTATTTTAATAACGTTCAACTAATTATTCTTATCTTTGGTACACGTAATGCGGCGAGGAACCCGAGACCAGTGGTTGGGGGAGCCTACAATGCCTCACCTGCATTGCTGCTAACTTAGCAAGCCCTGCAGATTGCCGTTCGTCATTATCCTTTCTTCTCCTTCTTAATGCCTGTCCCCTTTCTCTGTCTGATCGCAGGGATTGTCATTCGTAAAAAAAATTAGAAAGTAGAAGCTAGGTGTAGAAAGGAAAAGGACATATGGATACGAGTTAAGAGTAACTTCATCACTGTAACCAGATACTATAATTATACAGTCAGAAAGTGCAACAACTAGGCACAAAACTGACAGAGTGCTGAAACATTCGACGTCCTGACACCTAGCTTCAACACATCTCCGTAGCGCTAACCGACAGCCTTCCAACTTGGAAGGTTCAAGGTTATGGAAAGACCAAAGAGGGGAAGGCAAGCGCAACAAAAACGAGCACAGGCTACAGTCCCAACGGAACAAAGAATGTCGATTGTTACTGGACGATGACGAGACCAGTAGGTTCCCCTCTTTGGTCTTTCCATAACCTTGAACCTTCCAAGTTGGAAGGATGTCGATTAGCGCTACGGAGATGTGTTGAAGCTAGGTGTCAGAACGTCGAATGTCTCAGTACTCTGTCAGTTTTGTGCCTAGGTATTGCACTTTCTGACTGTATGTAGTATCTGGTTACAGTGATGGAGAGTTACTCTTAACTCGTATCCATATGTCCTTTTCCTTTCTACATTTCTTTATGGCTCAACATCCGAATTTCAAAAAGCTAGGTGGATCAAGTAATTTTGTCATCTGGGATCGAATTCCAACCTTTTGAAGTTCACTTTCATTTTCCAAAATCCAGAAATTGGTCTAACGGCTTCTTGCCTTCTTTTTTAGAAAATAGAGAGGCAATGCAATACATATTATGTAAAGTGAAAAGCTGCAGTGCCTAGTACTGTAAAAGCAGAAATTTTCGGTGGTGTAATATTTTCGGTATTCTCCAAAATCGGCGGTTCGGTAGAGGGAAATTTTCGGTAAACCCCGTTCTCCAGGTAAGTGTACTAGTACTACATGTATATAGTGTCAGTTGTAACGAAATTTTCGGTGCGTTTTATTATCAGTAAAAATTGTCGGCACCGAAGTCACTGAAAATAAAGCACCACTGAAAATTTCTGCTTTTAGGCGAGACCAAAAAAATAGAGATTCCCGGGCCCTTCCGCACCAAAATCAAGCCAAAGCCATTTTTTTGGACAGTTCATACATACATGTACAGTACTGATCGTGTGAGTAGATCTGTGACGTGGAGTAGGGTCCAGCGGATAATGCCGGCATTATATTCGGCATTAGGAGACTATCCGAGCATCAGAGCATTATGGAGCATTAGAAAGGAACAAGACGAGCATTATGTGAGGTTTGAGTGACATAAAGAGATTCATTGTCAATAATATCGGGAAATCTCCGGTTTTGGCAACAATCGGCATAGCCACGAGGTGCAACGCCATGCACATGACTTTGTGATTGTGTACACACGTAAACACCTTTAGCACTAATGCTACATTTTCCTGACTACATAATGCCATTGCTACAGTCGACTAGTCATAAAGTCTTTATGTAGCAATGTAGTCAGGTGAATGTACAGCCTACAGGTGATGTAAAACAGAGAGGTTCCAGGCTGTCCAAGAGATGGCTGATGTAGCATGCCCAACGTTGCAACTGAGGCTGTTACACAAAGTCCGTAACGATGATTTACGAGGAGTTTTTTTAGAAATCATGGAGAGCCATGGAGGAGACTTGACGTAGATCTACGCGAAGTGAATATCAAACAGACGAAGAGGAGTTTTCCTGTTATGCCATAGGCTTTGGCCATAGCATCACTAGCGATACTGAACACTGATCCATTGATGATTTTGGACCTGGATGATGGAGCGGCTATAAACAGAAAGAGCTTGTTCCAAATAACTGCCTTTTCCGAGTCCAGCTCAGCAGGCTCGAAAAGAACTCAGTAGGTCTACCTGTAGAATTTCTCATGGACGCAGTACCAAGTCGATTTGAGTGCTCAGCAGCGCGTGTCTTACTTTCCTGGTGAAGCACGTACAGTTTGTCATAGACGGTTGTAATGCAAGGCCTACAGTCAAATGCTATCAGAAAGAAGAGCATTGTGGCCAACCATTTGTCTCCGCGCAACCTCAGGAGAAGAAGACAGTGCAGGCAGAGGATATAGAGCGGCAAAATAACGTCTGACCACATGTTTTCTGGATTTCCGCAAATGGGAGGGATCTTGATCTGAGATCGTCTCTCAGGAACTGGCCTCAAGTGAGCTGTTTCAGACGAAGATAATATTCACAGAGTGGAAGCAGTGACAGCTTGTCTGCAGGCAGGAATGCTATTTGCTAAGATAAACTTCATCTCAGTGATCACCTGTAATAATGGTTTCACCTCTCACTACATGGATATGTAAGGGAAAAGATTTGATACACCCACTATTCAGCCACAGCCCTGCATCAAAGTTGCAATGGAGAGCAGCCAATGGAGACGCGATCACGTCTTGTAGTGCTAAGAAGTGATGGAGCTCGTGAGAGATTTTGCAGCAGCGTGAGAGGCAGATCGACTATATGCATCCTTTCCTGGAAGTATGACAATGTGCAGCATTTCTTCCATTTTTCATCTAAACCAAGAGCATTATAGCCCTTGCTGAAGCATTATAATCAGCATTATAAGGTAGTTTTTGGAGCATTATGATTAGCATTATACGAACATTTTCGGAGCATTATCCGCTGGACCCTGACGTGGAGTCACACAAACCCGAGTTTGTACGACTCCCTGATGTACAGATCAGGGCCATCGTTGGCCGAAATATAGAAAAGTTGAACGAGTAAACCACGTACCTGTTGTCTGTAAAAAAATTAATAAAAATCACCGGAAAATGCTTTAAAAAAAGTGCAACACGGCATGCACACATAATTATATAGTCATGTACATACATGTACATGGGAAAAAATAAAAAATAAAATTCGCCCACCCGCACCAATTTCACATGGGTCCTGCCCGGGAATCTCGATTTTATTTTGGTCTCGCCTTACAGTACTTAATACTAGAAATTAATCCTTGCTGGGGGTTTTCTCATCTAAATGTCCAGCTATTAACTGCAGAGGTGATTTCTTCTCTCGTCGATTTCTTTCCTGCTATTATACCTCGATTATGTAGGTACTTGTTTCCCATTTTCCCATGCTTCATCTTCCCCTCTCCTCTCCCCCATTTCACCTTTTTTCTTGCTATATTTATGTAGGAGACTTCCGTGATAAGCATCCATTTGCTTTTGGAGAATCCTTTTAAATAAATACAATACAATACAATACATGTAGCAATTTCACCTGATACTCTGTCAAGCAATGTACTTATCAAGTGGTTATGTTTGATCATCCTCTGACTTGTTGTTCTAGTTCCAAGTCGTGCTCCGTCAAACCTGGATGTTACCGGCGAGACTAGCACATCTGCTCAGCTGCAATGGTCTCCAATTCCCCTACTGGACCAGAATGGAAAAATCACATTATACCACGTCAACGTCACGGCTGTCTATCCCGTCAGTGAAGTCTCAAGCAAAACATTCCTTGCATCTGCCCTTAATGGGACTATTGTCCGGCTGAAACCATACACGATGTATGAAGTGGCCATTGCCGCTGCTACTGGTATTGGCAGGGGAGATATCTCTAACTTCACATCGTTCCAGACCCAGCAAGCAGGTGAGGTGGATTTGAACACTGTGTTCTTTATCACAGGGCCCATACCTACTGAAGAAGGGGAAACAAAACGAAGTCAAAACAAAAAACAGCAATGGGTGTGTAGGCGCTACATAAGCGGCGCTGGTGAGGTGCGGTGGACTCCCCCGACCAAGGGTATCGGGATCGCTGTACAGTACATACTAAGCAAGCTGTGGCAGCTGTCTGGTGATTGCTAACACTGGAACCTCTGAGTAACAAAAACACAGAGCCTCCGAGTACCAACAAGAACACTGCATTGGTTTGCCCTTCCCTATACCTGAACATTGTAAGATGCGTAGGCCTAGGACATGGAGGGCTGCTAACTTCCCTAGTTCAGACATCAGCTCGCGCAGAGCAGTATGATACCTTCAGCATAGCCTTGCTTTCAAATTGACGGTTTCGAAGAGAGTAGGCCAAGCCTACTCTTCCGCACCTTGGCCCGGTCGGAACACACCATCCACCCACATACGCATATCCTAGTGGTGGCTGATGAGTGGATCAGACCCACCACAACATGGTCAAAGACGTAAAAACCCCAGTGTTGTGTCCATGTTACCCTTGTGCGAGGTTAGACTGAGCTTCCAATCACCTGTGGGTCACTGCCAAGTTGGAAACGTTTGACCCTTCTTAGCACGATCTGAACTTACTCCACTTTGTTTTCAGTTATGGCCTCAGACTATCCGACTACGTCTGTCTCCCTTGTTAGTTTTACGAATACAACTTTGATACAATGTAGGATATATTTTAACATCTTTCCAATATTGTATAAAACTTTGCGTTAATACTCCGACGTAATCAAAGCATCTTAGTTAGTAAGTTTTGTTAATTCCAAGCAATACATGGCTGGGGCAGTCAATGACCACTTTGCGTGGAGATTTCAGGGGTTTCAGCTTACCACTAACTTGCCCTAGAGCCACTACTGTCCTGAGGATGCCTTTTAACCCTCTCTTGTCTGCTCATACAAGCATCAATCCGATGGGCTCGGTGGGGTAGGCATTTTCAAATTATCGTAACCTAGGAACCTTCAATTGAGTTTGAGGGCAAGATGCTTGGGAATCACTTTGCCAAATCTCATTCCAAAAAACCAGTAATGACAATAACGCTCTATGATGATGGTAAGGTTATTGTTGCTCACTATCATTGTCTCTGCTGTTGATACATCATCTGCAGCACCAAGTATTGGACCAACCGTGACCAACACATCCTACTTAAGCAGCACTGCTCTGCAACTGGCCTGGCGAGAGCTCGCACAGCAGGATCTAAACGGTGTGTTGGTACGCTATGACATCAGGATTGTCAGCCCTGGAAACTACACACAGGTGTTTAATGTGACAAGCAACGAGACCAGTCTGACTATCACCCAGCTTGAGATCAACACTGTGTACAACCTGTCTGTGAGGGCTGTGACAGAGGCTGCACCTGGTCCATTTGGCAGCCAAGTACCACAACGTACAGATGAATCTAGTAAGCCATGCACATGTGCACACCGTTTTTTTCAGGTGACTTTTCTCAAACTCAATGCGTGGAGAATTATTTCACCACGTCTCAAGATGGGTCTTGCCTCGAAATTGGGATGATGTTGCTTTACTCTTTGTCAGTGGTTGTGTTGCCCAGAGACTGCTTGAAGCGTGTTGTGAGCATGTACGGATATAGTGGATTGCTACAGTGGAGTCTGATATTGAGAACTGGTAGGCAGTAGGCAGCATTGTTCCTTGCTCTCATTTCTCCGCCATATCAAGTGCAATGCTAGCAATTATTATAGGAAGAAAAATGACCGAAGAACTACAAGTTACGCTATACTGTCCACTAACACCACCAGTTACTTGACAATCAGCTCATGCGATAACATTGCGTGACACTGACGAACGGTACTGACGTTCTGCAACTAACTGCCACTCAGCTCTCAGCTCTTTATCTTCCTATAAATTAATCCTTGACTCTCCATCCGAGTCTGACTAGTAACTATTACGTTGGATTTTCCCACTGTTCAGCTCCTGATACTGTCACCAATGGGAGCGTTGTGTTCCGAACAAACACCACCAACGTTGCAGCCAACATCTCCTGGACACGGCTGACAGACGATCGAGGTATTATCACTAACTACACGGTCCACTACGGTCAACTAGACTCAACACAGGAAGACCAGATGGTGACGGATGAAAACCAAACAGGACCAGCAGACTATGATAATATCACTGTCTCCGGTAACCATAGCAATGCCTTGATCCATTCACTGGTGGAAAAGAAACGCTACGGATTCTATCTAGTTGCAAGCACAAGAATCGGCACCGGTCCATCAAGCAAGCCTGTCTCTTCACCAGGAGCAGCAAGATGTAAGTTGGAATCAGAGGCACTGTGTGTTTGTTTTCCTTCTGTAGAATCTTCGTTCACTGGAGTTGTAATCTTGAATAGCTGCGCTAGGTCTTTTTGGGATCTGTTTGATTGGTCAAAACCAGATCCAGGTGAACTTGCTGCACCCGATTGGATCATGTTTCTTTCAACAAATCACACCCAGATCGGACGGATTTGGATCGGACCGACAATGCTCTCAGGAGCAGAGTTAATCAGAGCCATCTAATCCTCTTTACAGCTTTGTGAAATAGCATACCCTGCACAAGATATGTGTATCAGTTAAAGTTGGAAAGTTTGATTGAAGTGCATTAGCGCTTCACATCTCTGTGTTTGTATTGCTTGGGTAACTACGACAACTGTCATGTGTCTTCTCCTGCTGTAGTTCCCGGCCAGCCGGAGTCAATCGAAGCCAAGTTCGTTGGGAGCACTGCCACAGCAGAGCTGACATGGAAGCCCAGTTCAACAGGTGGAGAGCCAAGCGGTTTCAGGATGTTCGCATTCTACGAAGAAGTTGTGGATGAGCAGCTGCAGCAGCAGAGTAGGAGAAGAAGACGTCGAAACGTGCCGAAGACGACTGTGATGAATATTAGTGAGGTATGGGATGTATTTTTTTTATAAAACCACAAACCTCGATATCAGAATACTGCATATCGCAGCTGTGGTGGTGAAACTGGAGTATCTCCGCCAGCCTGAGATGTGTTTTAAAGAATAGGGCTACCCTGTGCAATTGTGTTTGTGATTGTGTGTATGTGCTTGTATTTCTGTATGTTTGTGTGTGTGTGTATGTGTGTGTGTATGTTTGTGAATATTTGTGTGTGCTTGTGAATATTTGTGTGTGTTTGTGAATGTTTGTGTGTGCCTATGGGTGCATATGGGTGCCTATGGGTGGACGTGTGTATGTGCATTATTGAAGATTACCAACACACGCACATATGTGCATGAGATCAAAGAACGCAAGAGAATGATAACTGCTCTCAGTAGAATCACATTCACAACTGAATACCGTAGACTTAGGAGTCAGCAGTTTGCTAAACTCCTCTCCCCTGTTCATTATAATGTTCTGTTCTCTTCCAGCCAATAGTGCAATATTTGAATAGGCGACAAGGAGACAATAGTTCTAAAACAACAATGAAAAAAACGATATGCGCGCTCATGCCACAAAACAAAGCAGCAAAAAGGTTTGGAATCAAACCATTGCTACTTTGTTTTGGGACATGAGGGCGCATAAAATTTCATTCAATAGAGCAATAGTACAAGATAACGTACTCACAATCCATGCATTTCATTGCAAACACCATTGTCAGTGGCAAGTTAGTAGTACAGCAGTGGATTGACACAGGAGCCATGCAATAACCTCCCAGTGACTTCCGCTACAATACTAGAAGAATTTGTATGAAAAACTCGGCACATTCAATTTCCATTCCCAAATACCTTCCATGACTTTTGGTTGCATGCAATGGCCAGCATTGGATCCGTGTTACGCAGGTTAAGCATCTAGGTGACCATATTTGAGATGGTTATGGCCGGATTTTGTGACAATTTGCATGAATGTGCTCCTGGACTTGTTGCTGGCAATGTGCCCAACATCTCAATTTTTGCATCATTTTGCATTTACATTCCTCTACTAGAACTCTTAAACGCTTATTGCTCCAGTTGAGCTGCCCTGATTGGTCCTGATTGCAGAGCCGGTACTGATTGTTTGTTCGTATTTCTTTCTCTGTAAACGGTTCTTCACATGTAGGATGTAGGAGGACAGGAAACAACAGGCCGCCTCCAAAACCTCCCCACCGGAAAGAACTATGCATTTGACGTGGTAGCAATGGTCAATTTCAGTGGCAAAGTCTGGCTGAGCCCGGGCACTGTCGACATAGACAACTTTGGCAATGCGACAACCATTCGCCTGCCAGAACCCGTTACTGGTAAGTGATTGCAGAATATTGCTAGTGCTATCATGACCTTACATCACATGTACAGTGTTGCTCAATGAAATCCAGTCACAGCGTCACTCAAGTACGCGCCGGGCATTGTGCAGCCCTAGCCCTAAACCTGTGAGCACTGGGTTTAGAAATGGTGCAAGGCGCAGACTTGAGTGACGACGTGACTGGATTTCATTGAGCATGACTGTAGCTGTGCGCCATGCATGTGGCTTGTTCTGAGCATGCCCCATTTGCTGCACGAGGCATTTTGGCGGAATAAACTCTTCAGGCTGTTGTTGTTGCTTGGTTGTTTGTGCATGATTACAGTATAGGCTGTTCCATGTTACTTCCGTGACGAATGGTTTTTAGAGTACGGGAATCCGGGGTAGTACAGCTGTGCTCCTTGAAATCCGACACAAAGTACATATTTGACGCCCTGAACTCGCACGGCTTTTGACGCCCAGGAAGTGGTATGAAGTGGCTAGACGTACACATATTCAAGTATCCAGTCAAACCAGTCTAAGACGACCTCTCAAGGGACCTTCAAAATGTGGTCTCTGACACCAGGTGGTTTCCTTATCCAGGGTCGATTGACTGGAAATACCATCCCCTGGTGCTGGTTCCAGTGATCTTCTCAGTTTGCAGGTGGTCACCTTATCCGAGTGGTGGCCTTGACAGCTAGGTTTTACTGTAGTAATGTAATCGGAACTGGTCCAGGGCGCCAGCTTTGCACTTCGGGTTGGATTTCAGTGAGCATACCTGTAAATACTACGCTACAGTGATGAGCAGTGGCAATGAGGTAAAGCCAATGCGTAGTGAATACTGATTACATACATGTATCACTGACTGACTGACGGTCTTCAGTGGAAGTTGCAATCGACTTTGCCACTTCAGCCACTGGTCACACCGTTGTGGATCAGGTTTTCCAAGAGCATATTTTGGACTGCAGTGCTTCTCTAGCCAAATTTGCATTCTTCTACCAATCTCTCTCTCTCTCTCTCTCTCTCTCTTCTACAACACAGTATACTCAATCAGACACCATATAAACACTATTGTACTTCCGAGTACTGCTACATACTAGTACAACATAGTAGAGAATAAATAGGAAGCTCTAAGTTTTAGAAAGTTCCAAGTTGAATCCGGAACTCTGCCTTTCACGAGAATACGATAACGACGTATACCCCTCTAGTATTCTTTATCCATTCTCGTGTTAGGCAACCGTGGTCTCTCCTGATACACTAGGCAACCATGGTCTCTCCTAATACACTCAGTCGTACGCCTGGCCCTGAATGAAATCCTGTTTGATACCAATTTTTTCTTTTCTTTTTTCTTTTGTTCTTTTCTTTCTTTTTCTCTCTACTCTGGCAAGCCATGATGCCGAAACCTCCAGGTTGGCTGGGCTTCACAGGTCCCATCCACTCTAATTGTCAATCATGCAAAGAGTGCTTTTTGTAAAAAAAAATACAATCATTAACTCTAACCCTAACCCAGACTAATATCAACCCATCTGCTAGCAAAGCAAGCTTCACTTGTGCATGATAATTCTCTCCGATCCCCGGCATCTCATTTATTTCTGGGTGTTGCAGGTGAATCCAGTTCGGTAGTCATCATCGCTGCAGCTGCTGGTGCTGCGTTTCTCTTCATCATTGTACTTCTGATTATTCTCCTCATCCGACACAAAAGGCAAGTCTACATGTATATCCTTTCTGTCCTTGTAAAAAATATCTTGGTGAAAAAGGAGAAGGGCAAAATGTTACGAGTTATGACTAACTGTCCACCAACGTAACCAGATCTTATACAGTCAGCAAATGCGACAAAATGGCACAAAACTGACAAGGAGCACTGAGACATTTGGCGACCTGGTACCTAGCTCCAACACTTCTCCAAGGCGCAAACCAACAACCAACATGTTGTCCTTCTCCTTTTTCACCGTATTTTAATTGGCTCACCATCCGAAAAACATATCTTGCTGCATCAATATCTGAGCAGGGTAGGGGACAAGGAGGGGGTGGGGGACAAGGAGGGGGAAGGGGGGGGGGGGAGAGACGGTGTACTACATGATGGAATCTGAACCTGAAAGAAAGACACTAAAAGATGTAAAGACTTGAAAACTATACATGTCCAGAGCAGGTTCGGTATACCATAAGCAACCATAGGGACCTAGCATTACAAAACCACAGACTCTCTTTAGTCCATGAAGGGTGACTAAAGTTGGTTATTTTGCCAGTTTGCCATTATCCAGCATAGCCAACTTTTCCCATTATCGAATCCCAACGTGAATTTGATCTTAAGTATGAAGGTGAAATCTGATCATTTCGTTGCTTTCTGTTGTTCTAGTTACGGGTCTGTGTTGCTATAGTGACTGTTTCGTGTTTTAATGGTGTCTGCTCTGTGTTGTTATCGTGATTGTGCTGAGCAGGAAGTCCAAGGCAAGCATGGCGTTCCCCAAGTCTCTGTCGGTGAAGATTGACTCAGTGCAGTTGCACACTACACGCGGAGGCAACGACACAGGCTCATGTGAGTTGAATCACACCTCAGTGCTATGAAAACCAGCAGCACTACTCTCATAAAAAATATTCGGACTTTGTGCAAGGTCTTGTACTACCAGTTCTTTTCTCTCTTCTCTTCTTTCCCCCTTCACTTGGTGCACTGAGCATACATCAATGTCGAGACCTCAGATCCGGACAAAGTGTGCTCAGCCCCACCACCATGACATTCCTCTATTCAGCATAATTATCACAGGAGGATTAGAGTATGGAAGTTCGTAAAAAAAAAAAGGATAAATATTAAATAAATATACCCTCCAGTGCGTCTGCTACATCACTGTACCACTAGAACACTGTACCACTAGAACACTGTACCACTAGAACACTGTACCACTAGAACACTGTGCCACTAGAACACTGTGCCACTAGAACACTGTACCACTAGAACACTGTACCACTAGAACACTGCACCACTAGAACACTGTACCACTAGAACACTGTACCACTAGAACACTGTACCACTAGAACACTGTACCACTAGAACACTGTGCCACTAGAACACTGTGCCACTAGAACACTGTACCACTAGAACACTGTGCCACTAGAACACTGTGCCACTAGAACACTGTGCCACTAGAACACTGTACCACTAGAACACTGTACCACTAGAACACTGTGCCACTAGAACACTGTACCACTAGACCACTGTGCCACTAGAACACTGTACCACTAGAACACTGCACCACTAGAACACTGTACCACTAGAACACTGTACCACTAGAACACTGTACCACTAGAACACTGTACCACTAGAACACTGTACCACTAGAACACTGTACCACCGCTTCACCAACACCAATGATGTACAATGGCTTAAAGAATTTATGGAAAGTTTGGAAACCCCCTCGATCGGCGAAAGCCTTTGGGGAATCCTCAAACAATAAGAAAATTTATTACAAAAATCACAAAGAATGTGCTAAGGTACCTTAATGACATGTGTGTCTGCCATTTTATGTGTCTGTGTCTGTATGTCTTTACTTGTGTCTGTGCATGTGCGCATGCATGTTGTGTTTCGGTCTGTCTGCGTGTTTCCTTTGCTCTGCCAGTCGCTGGCCTTGTGGTGATGGAGAACGAGTGTAGCCTGACAGATGCCACCACAGTCAACGCAGGTCTGGGAGAGGTGGCCACGCTGCCGTGCGAGCTCAAAGTCGACAACCCACTGGAGAGTGTTGCATGGAGGAGAGGTAATAAGAACATTGATTGTCACGCCGCCGGTGGAGAGCGATACCGGATCATGGACAATGGTGAGTGAGCAAGCGAGCATATTTTTTTACTAAAAGCCATGTGGTGCACGCAATGGGAACATGCAGTAGCCATGGTGGTGGGGGCCAGGCGCTTCGTCGACCAACTGGTCTCGACATCGTCACGCTCGGGACGCACCAGATAAATGGAAGTAAGCGGTATCCGGAAGAGAGCTTCAAATGTTTACCAGATGTCTTTAAAAAGTCACTGTTCGCGTGAGACCCAGCTAGACTGGGTTTTCAGCATCCGTAGGAATGCCACCACTCTTCAAGGATCAAAGGCGCAGATGCAGCTCTTAAAGCGGTGGGAGGTGAGTAGATCAGCCCACCAAAGTGGTCAAAGACCGAAAATCCGATCCATATGTATGCACGGCGGAATAACGACAAATGTCCTGCTCTCCTTTTGCAGATTGTATCCCCTCGACATTGAGTACTCCACTGGACAGCCTGGAACCTCCCTGCGTTTGTTTAGACTGTATCACTCTCTGACAGCCTTTCTGACAGAATGAGCTCTGGACATTAGGAATTGAGCACAGTTTTAGTTTCTCTTCCTTTTTATAAGAAAAGTCATTCTTCTTGCAGAGCTTCACTTACCAACCACCACACTCCAGTGATGGTACCAATAATGGCACAGGTACATATCAATCTAATCAGGTTAAGGAACTAGTACTCGTACATGTAAAGGAAACGGTTTCATGAAAAAATCGACCGCCACCACCTGGATTTTACCAAGGAACTTTCATCATAGGCTAGCGATGCTCTTCCCTTTAGCTTAGTCTATGCTTAGCCCTGAAACCTATAGAGCCCCCGCATCCTCACACAGCTTTTCATACAGCGCTACAAGACCCACCCTCTCCTGGCATATATACCGACATGGTCGGCACCCCATCCTTACGTTGCCTGATGATTGCAAGAGCATAAAACTTGAAGTAGCAGCAAACAAGCCTTGATTATCCTTGTTATGCTTAGCCTATGCTATAAAAGGAATCCGCGGCTTGCACATCATGAGACTCTGTTTGACTGAGTTTCTCGCATCCGCAGACACACCACCACACTCTAGAATCAAGACACACCACCACACTCTAGAATCAAGACACACCACCACACTCTAGAATCAAGGCCAACCACCACCCTGGGCTATGGTTATGCTCTGCTAGATCTGCACTTTGATCCTAGTTCTATGCTCTATATCCACACAATGTGCGTGTTATCCCCTTGAGCGCGGGGCAGTTTGGTAGTGCAGCTGAGCACGTAAGAAAATGAGAATTTTTTTATATTTTCAAACCTTGTCTTTGTCAAGTAGAGTAGAGACATCTTTGTGAGCCACAGCCGCAGGCAGTGGTAGGTAGGACCCAGACCAGCACTCGACAATACGACCAAAGGCAAAACTCGGTCAAGGCACGCCAGGCTGAGCGGCATACGTGACAAGAGTGAGCTGCAGCATTCGGCCTTGTACAGATTATTTTATCAACCAGCAGAGAGGTCCAGAGATCGGCTGGAGAGTGCAGTTGTGATGTGAAGGTTGATAAAAATGTGTTTGTTCATCAACTAAAAGTAAAATCAACCAACCAAACTACAGTATGAGTCTTACCTGGAAAGATGCCAGTGTCGTGACACAGACGCTGTGCAACCGATCAATCCTGGTTAGAACTGACGTTGGAATATCCTAAAAACTAGCATCACTTGGGCCACCACTGCTGCATGTGGAGAGCTGTAGTTCATAGATTAAACCCTGCACTGCACTACGCCACACCGTCTTCTCAGAGCACTAAGACTACAGACTGAACGTGACCACGAGCTTTTAAAAGAACTCTGCATGCACTTGTTGAAACACTATAATAACAGAGCCCCAATGCTGCCTTTCACGGTAGTATAGACACCGGGGTGAGGATGAGACTTGAGAATACATGTTCGATAATGCAATACTATCTTCTCTGCACTGAAGGTGCTGTATCTGACGACTTACATTCTCAGCACTGCTGATACTGCTGTGTCTTGTGTGTGACGCTTGGATACTGACCGCCAGCATTTTGCACTGTGTGCTCTGGATATGACAGCATAGATGTGTTACTATTGTCTCTAGTATGCATGTACTGGTCACACTGTGATCATATGCGTCACAGAAAATCGTGGGTGTAAAAAGAAGGTGATGTGCAAGGCTTGAAATACCGTCACTTTTCATCAATGATGTTTGACAACTTGACGCCTGATGGTGCTAGCTGTTCGTGGATAGTTTAAAGTGCATGGAAAGTGTGATTGTGTATGAATGGTGTGATTGTGCATGGAAAGTGTGATTGTGTATGAATGGTGTGATTGTGCATGGAAAGTGTGATTGTGTATGAATGGTGTGATTGTGCATGGAAAGTGTGATTGTGTATGAATGGTGTGATTGTGCATGGAAAGTGTGATTGTGTATGAATGGTGTGATTGTGTCACACAGTGTCATAGATAGGGTGAAGGGTTGGCGTAGATAGTGTGATTGTGCATCACGGATAGTGCGATGATGTGTCGTGGAAAGGTTGATTGCAAACACAACTGGGTGCTATTCTAGCTGGTCTGCACTGTGCGTGAACTCGTACGGCATTTGAAAAATAGCAGATAGGTGCGCGCGCTCGCATGTGTGTGTGTGTCTGTGTGCATGTCTGTGTGTGCTTTATTACGTTGCTTTGCAAGTGCCCGCACAGGCATCATTTCCATCCCCTTGTGGCACATTATATTACTCATGCCACACTAGTCCTGTTGGTCTTCTTCCAGTGCTCCTCTGCGGTCTATCAGGCATGCAATGTTGGTCTTGATTACTTTACCTTCATTTTCCTATGGCTGTTAGAAATGAAGATACAGGATAGGCATGTCTCATTGTGTACTGACGGTGTAAATCGTCGACATCCATTGTAGTGTTCTTACCTGTATTAAGAGACCACTACACATCTAGCTCATCTATAGACAGTTCTGAGCCTAGAATTTTGCAGTGAGGAATCAAACTCTGCTGTCTGGACATCATAATATTACTGAGTTGCTCATGCTCGCATGCCTTTCTAGTACCTGGTCCACGATCTCATGAGACACTACTTCATTTCAGCTCAGGAAAGTTCATGAATGTTCTTGTACTTCGAAGTATGTTACGCATTGGAATTTTAGTGGAATACTGTAAAACGGGTAACGTTTGCGACAATAAATGTTTGCGTTTTACAAATTGAGACTGGTTTGCGCTGTTTAATGTTTGCGAGTCATTCTACAGTCGTTCTACACAGTCGAGTCGGTCCTTGCACTGAACTAACTTTACATGGCGCGAGTTTGCGTTGTTCAAAGTTTGCGATTCGGGGCCTCTCGCGAAATTCGCAAACATTTTTACGTGGCAATAGTTACCAGTTTTACAGTAATCTTTTGAAATTTCCTTGTCTTGCTCATGCCCTTTCCCTCTGTTGTTTGTTTAGGAGCACTGCAGATTGAGAACACGTGTAAGGAGGATGCTGGGGAGTACACCTGCATTTCACAGAGTGATGAGAGTACGGGAGCTAGTCTGACACAGACCATTATGCTGATGGTGGCAGGGGCTCCTGGGCAGATCAACGGTAAGGTGGAACTGTCTGCGAATAGTGCTGTGATGATGACAATGTGGATAGTATTGAGGAGATTATGTGTTTGTGTGTAATTGCCTGGGCTCTGCTCCACCCCTGGGGCGAGTTTGCTATGTGTTCATGTCCTGGACAAGCCAATTTATTCTAGTGTAGCCCTTCATTTTGCAGACATGGCAGGTGGACAGATTTATTTTGGTATTGGATATGATGCACCTCTGTGGAATGTCAGGGGCGGCATGACTGATGTTGTGGGCATATGTATGAGCTAGCATAATATTATGTGTGCATAGTAAAACCTTTTTTTTTACAAGGAATGGGTGAGAAAGATACTCCGATGATTTGCGATCCTAGGAGGGAAGTACCAGAAGAATTTTGACCTGACACCTAGCTCTAAAAAATCTCCATTACGCAAACCGACAGCCTTCCAGCTTGGAAGGTTCAAGGTTATGGTAGGACCGAAGATTGTCAGTAATAATTCTATCTAACCCAGAACGACCCAATACCTATGACTTGGAGCCATGTTGCAGGTGTGAATGAGGTCGGCCAGAGAGCGCATGTGCTGCAGGTGGAATGAATTCGTTAAAGGGGAAGTCCGGTGAAAAATTTAAATTTCAGGGTCGGTAGAGTTTCGGGCGCTGAGTCGAATAGTGTTGGTCCCACGTGTCTCCGACAAAGCGTTCTCGAGATATTTCCGTTTGAAAAACTGAGTTTCGGGGGCTGCGCCATGACGTCATGCGGCCGCGCCACACCCTCTGCAACGTCATAGCGTGCAGCTAGGTCAAAAGGAGTGCGTGAAAGCAATAGTGTCAGTGCTATTTCAAATGATTTGGCGACTGATATTAGTTGGTGCAAGCGACCCCGAAGACCTGTAACTCCTTGTGAGAGTGAGGATGCAGCCATGGCTGACCTTCATGAGTTCGGTCTGGGGCTGAGAACCTCGGTATTCAGCTGAAGAAATGGCCGCGCGGGCCGGTCAAGAGTGAGCGCTACTGAGTTTCCCGCTGATGAAGAAGCAGCAGCTATTGCAGACGAGGCTGAATAATTATCAGATCGCTGGAGAGCAGGGTCGCCAAAATGGAGAAGAGTGATGCGAGTGCTCTAAATGTTGTTCCATACCGATTCGCGTAGACTCCAGTAGCCTGCCCCATGCCATGGTGATGTTTTGGTGCGAACTTGGAATATTTCGGACTACTCAATTGGAGAACAGTGCAGGCTCTTTGAACCACGGGCACGACTCTTCGCTCGCAACGCTATGGAATCTGAAAGTTCTAGGTCCGGGAGCTGTTCGCTGTTTTGTCACTTGTCACGGTTGTGCACTCATCGCTGTAGCATAAAATAATGAGGCGGGAGCGGAAAACTAAAAGTAATTTTCTTTCTCAAAGCACAATCACCGGCACCGGCAAGGAGAAACGCACGTTCTCTGACTACATGACTGTACAATACGACTGATACGAGTGTAGTACATGACAAGTCCGTGTGTTGACTAGTTTTCTGAGTCTTGTGTCAGTGACTCACTCGAGTCTTGTTGTAGATACTACCCCAGCACGGCAGTGCGGGAGTAGTTCCGTCTGAGATGAGTTTGTTGACTTTACTACACTATTGCACGCACTGCAATCTCTGCATGCACGCAGCGCACAGCGCGTAGAGGCTGACGGAAAAAGTCCAAATCGGAAACGGCTAAAATACGGTATAACCTCGAGGTTTACCGAGCTGAAAATCACAGAGTACGTAGTGTTTGTAACACTGAATCGAATGGTCTTGGTCCGAAGAAGCTGCGACAAACGGTTCCCCAATCGAACGCGCTCCGAATATGGCCATTTTCGTACACAACTAGATGGTGTGGCTACCTGGCTGCACGCTGTGACGTCATCACCTGGATCTGGGTGATGCGCGCTCAAATTCGCACATGTTCGATTGGGCGTATCTGACGAACCATAAGCTGCAGCCTCCTCGGACAAAGACCATTCGACTCAGCGACCCGAACTCTACGGACTGTGAAATTTAAATTTTTCACCGGACTTCCCCTTTAACCCAGAATGCCATATTTTCTTTCTTTTCTTTTTTTTCTTTTTGTGTGTTAGCATCATCCACATTTAATGTGCCGGTGGCGGCAGGCAACGCAGCCAGTGATGTTGGGCATCCTGTGAAAGTTAGCGGCTTTCGGCAGTATGTGTCAACCATGCACTCAACCAACAACGCAGCATTCAGCACTGAGTTCAAGGTAACATTTTCCGTCCCAGCCACTTCTGACTACCGTGTGGTGCTCAGTGAAATCTGATCGCAGTAGTCAGTGCCACGCCGGGCAGCGCTGTCCAGCCCTAGACCTGCCAACACTGTGCTGTGCACTGGTGCAGGGCGCTGTGCAGCCCTAGACCGGCTGCAAACACACTGGGATGTGTACTGGTGAAAGGTGCAAACCTGACCCAAGCCTCCGGGGATCAGAAACCTGACCCAAGCCTCCGGGGATCAGATTTCCGATTGAGCAGCACTGGATCCGTGTTGCGCTTCTCCGCAGTCATCTTCCCACACTAGTATAGCCTTCTTTGTTTACATTAGCATGCTGCAATACCTATTCATTGCCGGGTCATGCATTACTTTTAGCACATTAAAGAGCATTTCAAAGAGCCCTAGATTGCCAAAATCAAGCAAACAGAACGTAAGTTATGGTGGAAATGGTGGAGTGAACTGCAATTGCATATTTTCACGCATTCAGTGGCACCTCAAAGGGTTAAAAGTACAGTGTACCACACTAGGATTCACTCAGAGTCCAAAACCCGATCGAGTGTCAAACTCACCCGTATATCCACCTCACTCCATTCCCATACATCCATCTAAATGTGCATCTTCACACATACGTTCATCTACATGCATCTACACATCCATCCACCAAGCAAGCCAACCATTGAACCTTCCCACTCACCTATTTTTTCTGATGCATGCAAACCTCCTTTCCTCTTTGCTGCTCCCCAGACGCTGGCCGAAGTTGGCAAAACTCAACCAAAAGCCATTTCCATCAAGTATCCACGGAAGAATCGCTATGGCAACATTGTCGGATGTAAGAGCAAAACAACAGTGACAATTTAGTAGTAGGCTGGTTGTGGCGATCCACTTCGATAGTCAATCTGTCTTGGTTTCTCATCCTGCAGCATGACCTGGAAGTCCACTACAGTTGGATGTCTCTTATTTGGACAGCTACAGGTGCCCGGGATACGAGAGGTTCTACAGTAAAGGGGATACAGTAAAATCAAGAGTAGATAAACAAGAGTGTGCAACTCCGGATCTCTCCTGCACAATCTGCAGATACCCCCGCCCACAGCGGAATTTTTTGTTGACGTCACCTTTTTTCAGAAGAACACGCATTTTGCTGCAGAGCAGTGTGAGAGCACGTGCTGGGCACCGACTTTGTAGTGCAAATGCGGCAAAGTGCACGAGGGAAAACTTTCCAAAAGACTCATAGCACGTGCGTCGTCGAAAAGATTACGTCAACAAAAAATTCCGCCGTGGGCCAACCCATCCGCGAGTTGCACACTCTTGTTTATCTACTCTTGGTAAAACCTGTTTAAGACGACCTCTCAAGGGACCTTCAAAATGTGGTCTCAGATACCAGGTGGTCTCCTTATCCAGGGTCATTTGACCGGAAATAGCATCCCTTGGTGCTGGTTTCAGTGGTCTTCGAGGACAGGTGGTCGGCTTATCCGAGTGGTCGGCTTATCCGAGTGGTCGGCTTTTCCGAGTGGTCGGCTTATCCGAGTGGTCGGCTTGACAGGTTTTACTGTATGTAAATAGTCGTTCTCCTCTTGTGTCGCGTCCTATGGCTTTCTTTCGCTCCTCAGACGTTCTTGTCACGTTTGTCTCTGTGTGGAATATGTGCATGTTGCTTTGTGAATGAATGCATCCGTGCATGCATACGTGGAGGGTATGCGAGCGTGCGGGTGGTATGTGGGCATGCCTTGGCTTGTGCGTGTGTGTGTGCGTGTGTGTGTGTGTGTGTGTGTGTGTGTGTGTGTGTGTGTGTGTGTGTGTGTGTGTGTGTGTGTGTGTGCGTGTGTGTGCGTGTGCGTGCGTGTGTGTGCCGGTGCATGCATGCATGCATGCACTGTGTACCCACAGATGATCCAGCACTGGTGTTCCTGCCTGTGATTGACGGTGACGAAGAGAGCACATACATCAATGCTGCCTACATGGATGTAAGTATATGTAGCATAGTCACAATGTCGGACACATCGTGCTTACCAGGGCATTGACCGCCCCACTGGCACATTAAGTGAATAATAGCAAGAAGGCACAAGAGAGGAGCTAGAGAGAAAGGGGAAACCAAGGAGGAGTCCAGGTGGAAACTGAGGAAAAGTAAAGATAAGAACATTGAAAGGATCGGTCACGCAATACGGTTAATTCCCATCGTGGATGGGCATTGACCGCACCGCCAGGGGTGCAGCTGGTCCCCCTATTAGAGGGATGCACAGGCGCACGCATGTATGTATAGGATGGCTGGTGCATATCATTCGTGGTCGTTATGTGCATAATGAACCGAAGTCGAAATTTTTAGGGGGTGCACGTACCCCCGTGCCCCATGCGGGCTAAGCACCTGACCACTGTCATACTGCCGCAGGTACCCTGTCGGTTGAAGTTTGAAGATTGGTGGCCAGTTTCAAATAGCAGGCCCGGCAGAACCGGTCCAGTTGGTCCGGCCATGGCCGGACCAACTTTTTGGCGACCAACACGTCTTTACTGCTGAGGAGGTCATGTGTACCTGCCCTAGCAGAGACAAACTGTATGAAAGACTGTGGTATGGCCGGACCAATCAAAATCTGCTTCTTTTGGTCCTGAATAGTCTATAGTGGGAGTCTCTTTTTGACCACAATTGATCTTTCCTCACTTCCTTTCAGTTTCTTATCTCAATGGGTGTAGCCTAGAGACCATTTGAAGAACAAGACGATGCAAGGATAACTGGATGGCTGCAATTAAGCTTTCACACTTTGAGAAAGATTTATCTTGATAAACCACTATTATGCCTAAAGCATTCATATGTTTGAGGGAGTATTGAGAGGAAATTAGTGAAGAAAAATGGACTGCCACCACCAGAACTCGAACCTGGAACACTCGCTTACATACCATAAACATTACTGTTTAGAACCTGTCCATTATGTCAGTAGTGGCTTTTCCTCCACCTTGCTGGTGAACACACCAGATTTGTATGAGCCTGAGCAGGTGTGCAGACAAAGAGAGTTGCACTTTGCACGGCCATTCCCTGAACTGGGGAATCTGGAAAGAAAATCATGTACACCTAACATAGCGGACTTCACCCTGCAAGCATTGTACACACCAGCCCCTTGGTTTACTATCCTGGCAGTGCCCAAGTGCATCCCAAAACATAGTGTTTTGATGGATTATGTGCTTTCTTGCTCTACTTCTAGGGTTACAAGAAACCCAAGAAATACATTGCTACCCAAGGTAGGTGACTGCCATCTATGCACAATCAATTTCATTGAAGCCAGAGAGCATGCAATTGTGCGTATGCGTGTGTGTGTGTGTGTGTGTGTGTGTGTGCAGCTTGTTGTTGGAGGAGGCAGTTTGCTTTTTTTGAGCTCTGTCTCAATGATGGATTAGCCACACTTGGCAGCCAAGTGCCGTATGGTGGAGACCAGGCCTTGGCTGCTGTGGCCCGTCCTGACAGCCTTGCGAGCTGTCGGGAGGTTTGTTGTACGCATTGCACTAGTCAGACGAAGTGGTTTGGGGAATTTGTAGTTTTTTGAATTTGAATGAATTATGGTCACAACGAGGAGGACGGGGAAGACGAAGGCGAAGAGGACACTGGTCACTGCGACATGGAACGTTCGGTCCTTGGTGGAGGACGCTGGTGATGCCAAAATATGCCGTAAAAATAAAAATGTCTCGGATACCGCCGTTGACAGGAAACTGGATTTTCTTGTGGAGGAACTCGGCAGGTTCGGCGTGGACGTTGCTGGTATTCAGGAGACGAAATGGTTTGGAAGCGACGTCTGGCCTGCTGGGAGCGGTACGTTGTTACACTCTGGGAGGCCTTTGCCTTTGGGGAGTGAGCCCGGCCGCCGGAACGAGGGAGTTGGAATTTTGATGAATTCCGCCGTGACCGGGATGTGGAAGAGCGGAGGGGAGCAGTGGAGCGCCGTCAGTTCGCGTATTGTCACTGCTCATCTTCTTGTCGCCAAGCGAGGTGATAAACTCCCTGGTGGAGGTAAGCGACACGCAGATTTCTATGTCTCTATCGTCAATGTTTATGCTCCAACGAGTAAAGCCCCACCGAACGTAAGACGCAAGTTTTTCGATGACTTGCAACGAGTTGTGGACAGTATCCCATCCAGAGATGTTCTTGTGCTGCTTGGGGATTTGAACGCGCGCGTCGGGTCCAGCACTGACTATGCAGACAGCGCTGTGAGTCGTATCGATGGCATGCCGGGGGATGAGCGGATGTGGGGTTGTGTCTTGGGCCAATTTGGCCTTGGAAATTGCAATCGGGCTGGTGAGGAGCTGTTGTCATTCTGTGCAGCTAATCAATTGTCAGTAATGAATACATGGTACAAGAAGGGACGAAGTAAGCGTGGAACATGGACTCATCCAGCCACTCGCCAAGTGCATCTCATTGATTATGTCATCATGCGTACAGCTCATTGCTGCTACTGTAAGGACGTTGGTGTTGTCCGCGGCGCACTGTGCTGGACTGACCACTACATGGTTCGGGCCAAGCTTGTCCTGGACTTCGTCCAACGTAGATCCACTGTCCCTAAGCGGAGGTCGTATGCCACCCATCGCCTGCGTGAGCCTGATACGTTACTGCAGTACCGAGAGTCAATGGAGGCAGCCTGTGGTGGCGTGGTCGGTGGTGGCCAGAGTGTTGAAGAGACCTGGAATAGGGCAGCATTGGAGCCACTTATTGAGGCGAAGTGACGTGCCCATGAACGAATGTTGTCGGCAGGGAATCAAACGACACGTTCCGGATTTAGATCAGCCCAGCGGTCGGTTGCGAGGGCGGTGCGTGGTGCAAAGGAACAATGGATCCGTGAGGTGGTCGGTGATGCTGAGCGTGCTCAAAAGGATGGCTGTGTGAGGTGGAAATGCATCCGAAAATTTCAGCGAGTGGATGATGGCAGGCGTACGGTCACACCCTCGGCGGTTTATGATGGAGACGGACACCTTACTGACAGCCCGGAAAGTCTTGTTACGCGTTGGCATGCACACTTCGACAGAGTGCTCAACATTGCTAGTCGGTTTAGTATGCATGTCATTGATAACATGCCTACTGCTGAGCCGCGTCATGAACTTGACATGGCCCCGACATTTGAGGAGGTGATGGCTGCAATGCGGAGGATGAGTAGGGGCACGGCTGGTGGCTCGTCAGGTATTGTGCCGGAATTGGTGCTGGGTGGCGGTCTTGCTCTCCACCGGCGTATTCATTCTCTGATTTCCCAGATTTGGGCAGGTGGCTCCGTTGTTTCTGAGTGGCGCGACGCTGAGATTGTACCCATACCGAAGAAAGGCGACCTACGGTCATGTGACAATTGGCGAGGCATCAGCCTGTTGGATGTAGTCGGTAAGCTGTTTGCACGGGTTATCCAGGATCGCCTTCAGGAACTGTCCGAGGATGTGCTGCCTGAGTCACAGTGCGGTTTTAGGAAGGGATGTGGGTGCGTCGACATGGTGTTTGTGGCGCGCCAGCTAATCGAGAAGGCCATCGAACATGATACGCCACTGTATGTCATATTTGTCGACCTGAAGAAGGCTTATGACAGCATACCTCGTGAGGCGTTGTGGCTTGTCCTCGGGAAGCTCGGTATTCCACCTACCCTTCTCAGCTTGATTCGGTCCCTACATGTCGGCATGAGGGCTCGGGTTCGTATATCTGGTCGCTTGACGGAGGACATATATGTTAACAATGGTCTTCGCCAAGGCTGTACTCTTGCCCCCACCCTATTCAATCTGTATTTTGCTGCCGTAATGTCGTCTTGGCGTTCCCGCTCTTCTGTTCCCGGCGTGTCCCTGCGCTCACGCCCTGGCCGGAAGCTTGTTGGGGATCGAACAACCAAGGCGCGACTGAACACGTACCAGGTTACCGAGTCCCAGTTCGCTGATGATGCCGCTGTATACACCACATCAAGAGAACATCTGGAGACCCTGGCAAACGAGTTCATCGCCTGTGCCTCTCAGTGGGGTCTCACTGTCAGCATCGCCAAGACAAAGGCCATAGCAGTCGGCCCGGGGGACCTACAACCTGATGTCGTCCTCGATGATGGTGGGGTTGTGGAGATGGTCTCCGGCTTTACTTACCTCGGTAGTGTGGTGAGTTGCGATGGGTCACTGGACGTGGAGATCACCTCCCGCTTGGCCAAGGCATCTCGTGTGTTTGGTTGCCTCCTGACCCCGATTTTCCGGTGCCGGGGTTTATCCATCGGCGTTAAGTGCATGGTATATCGCGCTTTTGTCCTGAGCACTCTGTTCTACGGTGCAGAGACATGGGCTGTGAAGGCTACCCACGTCCATCGGCTGACCGTCTTCCATCGCTCCTGTATTCGGTCTATCCTCGGTGTATCGCGGATCCAGCAGTGGGAGGACAGGCTCACATCGGCAGAATTGGGCAGGCGATTTGGCATGTCTCTTGACATCTCCGATTTGCTCCGACAGCATCGTCTGCGCTGGCTGGGGCACATTGCCCGTATGGAGGAACACCGCACTCCGCAGCAGATGGTATTTGGCGAGTTATATGCCACTCGCCCCCGCCACGGTCCGAAGAAGCGATGGCGTGACGTTGTTGTCACTGATCTAGCTGCGGCACAGATCGGAGAGGGAGAATGGTTCCATCAAGCCCAGGATCGCCCAACCTGGAAGCGGTTGTGTCGTCAGCAGCCTCCTCCTCCCGGACCGAAAGAGTTCCGTTGCGCATGTGGCCGTCCCTTTGGCCGCATTGGGGACCTGAAGAGGCACGCCCCCCACTGCCGCGTCTGAGCCATCATCGCTACGCGATGGGCGTCCAAGGTCCAAGGTGTGTGTGTGTGTGTGTGTGTGTGTGTGTGTGTGTGTGTGTGTGTGTGTGTGTGTGTGTGTGCGTGCGTATGTGTGTGTGTGTGTGTGTGTGTGTGTGTGTGTGTGTGTGTGTGTGTGTGTGTGTGTGCGTGTGCGTGTGTGCGTGCGTGTGCGTGTGTTGAACTCCATGAACCTATCTTTGGTAGCAGTAGATTCTAATGTAGGTCAGTACTTCGAGTCAGGTTTGTACAGTTGAGACAGCATCCCAGCATGCCGATGCTAGTGATGTGTTGATTGTATGTTTCCATGCTAACTAAGTGCAAGACGCTTCTGTCACTCTCAACGTCAGATATGTGCTTCCTTGCCATTCAGTTCCATAATAATTGCACTAGGACTAGCATGTGTATATGCATACATGTAGGTGCATGAACAAGGTATGAATGGCAATTTGAGTGTAGGTGTTGACTCGTTGCTGGTGGCATATGTCATACTGACGTTGTCCTTGTCTACTGTCTTGCACTGCTCAGGACCTCTGCCGACCACTCTGGACGACTTCTGGCGTATGGTGTGGACTCAGAACTCTCGCATTATAGTCATGTTGACTCGTGTGATGGAAATGGGCAAGGTACGTATTCTGAGCGGCTGCCATGAGTCAGTCCAGTGTTAACCCAAGTCGGCAGGAAAGGCACAAGCTCATTGGTTGAGAGCAGAATCCGTCTCAGAATTATTGCCACGGTTGCTACCACTCATACACAGTAATTGCATTTTCGTAAAAATGAAACTGTTTCAAATTCTAACGGATATCTCACCCATTTGTAATGTCATTTCGACAGCAGCATGCTTTAAACACAACACTTCCATGTCACTACAGGTTTTCCCTCGTTAGTAGTTACATGTAATCCCGTGGAGTTGAAATTATTTGTCTTATAGCGAGTATTATCTACTATCCGGACGTGAATGTATGCGTTTCAGACATCAGAGGATTTATGATCATTTGTCTATTAATGAGGTTTGTCTTTTTTGAGTTCTTTATTTTCACGATGGCACCATTGCCCAATAAGAGAAAAGTTTATGAGAAGGTGAGATGCTGTGGATGGGGCTGTGGGTTATGCAGTTGGAAAGTAGTTTACATCACTTTGGATTCTACAAGTCTTGTAGCCGATGCCGTACTAACGAGGGTATACCTTTATTGTGTTTCTGGTTACAGCGCAAGTGTGAGCAGTACTGGCCTGACGAAGCACAGAAATACGGTGACATCTTGATCACACCGGTGGAGAAGACCAGCCTTGCTGAGTACACCATTCTGCAGTTCCAGATGGAGCAGGTAAGTGTGTGCACAAGTTGATTGGCCTGGTAAGGGTGCAGCCAGGGATTGGTGGCTACACCTGAACATAGTCGGAAAGTTTGGGGTGGGGGGTGGGGGTGCTGTTTGCCCCCCCCCCCTACCCCACCACCACCGCCGCCGCCGCCGCCGCCACGACAACCACCACCACCACCACCACCACCAACTGGATCCGCCTCTGCCTTTAAAAGTTGTCACTCAGAGCTGTTCCATATGCAGATGTATACTGAATAACTGTGCGCTCTTGGCATAGATTGCCAATTTGTCATCCATCACTGTTCAATATGCAAGGTCATACCGGATAGATTTGCACTGCTGGTTCTTATGTGGGCGTGTTTTGCTGTCCAATTGCATCCTTGTGATGAGGGGTACTGAGTGGAGGAAAGTCAGAGTTGTGGCGAGCTAGTCTTGTCCGCTGCCGCTCACACTACTGTTCGCCGTCCACTGTTGTGATGACTTTCGTAACATTATCTTCTGCAAAGTCTGCTGTACACTTGCTCACCCTGGATGCCGGGGAGGGGAAGGAATGGGGGATTACAGAAACTCTGGATATTATTGATGCCATATCCGGGACATCACAGGGCAGTGAGGAGTGGTATGACTGGGGTCCGGGAGTATCCCCCGGGAGAACAAGCTCGGATTCTTTGTCCAACAGGGCACGTTTTAGCACTCTTTTATTGCTTTTTTTGGATGAATTGGGTGGGCCATCCTGGACGGAAAGTGGTATGACCATGATCGTACTGTTCGCACCGTGCGTGACGCCCCTGCATGTTGTTCCTCTGTGGTGTGCTCGGCTCAGGGCGATGAAATACGTCAAATATATCATTTCCACTTCATTGCCTGGCCGGATCACGATGTACCCAAGTTTGCTACGGGCCTCCTGGGATTTCTAAAGCGTGTGCGACTGGAGCACAGCCGATGGATGTCCATTGCTCCCGACGCTCCTCTCATTATCCACTGCAGGTGAGGCAAGGGTGCTAGTTCACGTGTGGCCTTGTTCAGATCGTACTAATTCATAGAGGTCATGTGGAGAGACCGCAGTCTCTCTGGTGCCAGACATGTTTTCTGATAATTTGGCTGACTCAGTTCAAGTTTCAAGCCTTGTACGGCATACCATACTCCATCCGACTCTGCAAGTGTTCTTGTGTTTTACCTGAGGATGGGCCATGCCCAAAAATTTCGTGATTCAATGTAGCGAGGGTTTTTACCAGCAAAGAGATCACGACACACAAATGCCTGAGTATCGCCAAAGTCGCACCAACCTCTTATTCACAAGAGATCTGTGTGTGTGTGTGTCACTTTGTTTGTTTGTGTATGTGTGTGTATGTGTGTATGTGTGTGTGTATGTGTTTGTGTATGTGTATGTGTGTGTGTACGTGCGTGTGTGCGTGCGTGTGCGTGTGTTGGTGCATGCATTTTGTCTGTGTGTGTCTGCATATGTGTCACGATGTGCATCTGTGTTTTTTTGTTTGTTTGTTTTTTGTCTATGGGTGTGCCTGTATGTCTGCATGGCTGCCTGCATGTGTGACGCTGTGCAGTGCTGGAGTAGGACGTACGGGTGCCCTGATTGCCATTGACACACAACTGGACCGGGTTGCAGCAGAAACTGACATTGATATCTACAAGTGCGTACACGACATGCGCTGTCGTCGACAGCAGATGGTGCAGACAATGGTGAGAATGCAATAGTCCTGATTGGAATACCTGCTGGAGAGTGAGGGAGGGGAGGAGAAATGGGAGGGGAGGGGAGGGGAGATGGGAGGGGAGGAGAGGAGAGATGGGAGGGGAGAAGAAATGGGAGGAGAGGGGAGAAGAGATGGGAGGGGAGGAGAGATGGGAGGGGAGGAGAGATGGGAGGGGAGAAGGGAGGGGAGGAGAATGGGAGGAGTAGGAGGGGCTGTTTCGTAACCATGCAGAGTTAATACATGATTGTTTTCTCTTTTTTCACCACACAAAGCCAGTGACATGTTTGCTGTTTCGTAACCATGCAGAGCCAATACATGTTCATTCATGATGCTGTACTGGAGGAGATCCTGTGCGGTTCAACGGCAATCCAACCGCAGGATCTGCGCATTCGCATCAAACGTCTCGGCAAGCAGGAAGATGGCGCGCAGGAGACCATGGCTGCACAGCTTTTATCCGTGAGTACAACCAGGCACATGCATGTATCTGTATGTTGTACAGGACTAGCATTAGGTTCCTGATTTTTAAGAGTACGTGACTCAAGTACTAGTAGCTAGCTCAGGTAGCTGATTTACAATGCTTCATATGGGGCACCAGGCTTTCTTCCGGATCAGAGCATCGCTTTATTCATGGAACACTGTGCCAAATGGACCCTGCAGCTTATAGAGTGGTGGTGTATGATTTTGTGGGCAAGCTTCTATGCCAACACACACTGATTTCGCATGCAGTACTACGTAGAAGGCTCCTTATCTGGGCACGTTTGGGACCAGGCACTACTTGCAACTACTGAGAATTTCCCTGCAATGAAAATCATTCTTGTTTGTACCGGTATGCAAGTAAAAAAATTGTTCATGCCGAGATCAATATTTTAAATGCACGATGTAAGTTAATGATAGAGCATTAACTGGCCAAAAGCCTCGGAGAGGGTCCCTGTTTTAAGCTCTGGTGGTGGCAGTCATGTTTCCGACTTTTCCGGTTTCAATTCCCGCAAACTATGACTGTCGGTGCTGTATTGTGTTGAAAGTCCATTCGCATCTCAGTCAGAGGGGTCAGATGGGTACTGGGCAGAGAGGAGTGCCTATAATAAGGGAGTTCAGCCTCATGTCAGGTACAAAAGGAATACAAACTGAAATGCCTCCGACAGGGTTCGTTAATAAGCTGAAGAGGCTCTGGCTGTGGAAAATGTGGCACCTCGGTTGCCATCAATCGGTCTGATAGAATCCCCGGTCTTCTTGCCCCGACTTCTGGGATACAATGGCAGCAATAACATAGTGTTTGAACACAGTAGATCTGTACTTGGGGGGGGGGGGGGGGTGGGGGGCTTGGCCTTCTCCTGGAGCTAACATGTCATGCAGTCTCAACAGAAGCTGATAGTCCTACTATTTCACTGTGTCCTCCCATGCTGCAGACATTGGCCAGCATCAGTCCTCAAGCATCACAGGAGAACTGCGCCGCAGGCATGCACGAGGAAAACCGATCAAGGAACAGAGACATGAACAGACTTCCACGTAAGTCTGCTAACTTAGTGCAAGTGATGCCCCCGGTGTCAGGGTGACTGCCCATGGTACTGACCTGTCATGGTCTTTGAGTGCAGGTGTTCCCTGAAACCAGGGTGATGTCATGGTCTTTGAGTGCAGATGTTCCCTGAAACCAGGGTGATGTCATGGTCTTTGAGTGCAGGTGGTCCCTGAAACCAGGGTGATGTCATGGTCTTTGAGTGCAGGTGGTCCCTGAAACCAGGGTGATGTCATGGTCTTTGAGTGCAGGTAGCCTCAGAAACCAGGGCGAACCTAGCATATTACACGCATTTGCGTATTACACCCATAATAAATTTGTGCTGCAGTACAGTGTGTGGATGTGCATTTGTGTGTGTTCTTTTCTTGCATATGCACTGTGTATCGTGTGTGTTGTTGTTGCTGTGGCTGCTCCTGTCATTGTCGCTGCCGCATTTGTTGTCGTTGTTGTCGTTGTTGTGGTTGTTGTGGTTGTTGCCGACGTTGTTGTCGTTGGCATTGCCGTTGTTGTGATTGTTGTTGTTACTTGTTCTGCAGTCGATTCATCTCGTGTGGTGATTGTTGGAGCTAGTGACCTGGCTGAGAACCAGCCTGAGGACGCAGTACCACCTGGTCCTGTCTACGTCAATGCCAGCTATGTTGATGTAAGAAGAATGCATGGTGCTAGTGTAACGTATCGTGCTTACAAGTTGCCTACACCTTGACTCATTTGCGTTATGTTCACATTTACATGCGTCTCACCTTGCACACTTCACTCTCACTGTCACTGTGCGCAACTTTGAACTGTTGAGTGGGAGAGCTTGTATAGCCACGCACAAATACGTCTTGGTAACTCAAATATGGAGTGGTTCCGGTTCACGGAACGACATTGCACTTGTTACTCGAAAGGATTAGGTGACTTGAAAAGGAGTGTCACCAGAAAACCTTATTTGAGACAAGTTCTAGTTAGTTGAGACAAGTAGAGACAAGTAGAGACAAGTGAAGCATGCAAAAGGGGAAAGGCAGCAAAAAAGGAGCCACAGGCTCGCTGCGCATGCTCCGGGCTGAGAGCTGCAAAACGGTGCACGCGATGCGTGCAGCAAGACATCAGCATGACGTCAACATGATGTAACACATAAACAAATAAAGACATAATGAGCGTAACGCGGATTCGTGATGCATATTCACGACACTCCCCGGGCATTGGCCGGAGAACAGAATTAACCATAATTAATAACAAGGAGAAATTTCACACAAAACATGTGGAAAGATAACTGAAGAGCATAAAGAATGCGAGAGCAATGAGAGCGAGAGGGAGAGGGAGAGAGAGAGAGAGAGAGAGTTAAACACGGCCATCGGCGATCAAATCCTGCAAGTTGGACTGAAACTTGCTGGCAGCGGCTCGTGTCGGTCTTCGTACGACTGCAACGGGAGTGCTAGTCTTCTGAGCTGGGGTAGCTGAGGATTCTGAGGAACTGTTGGTCTCCTGAGCTGGGGTACCTGGGGATTCCGAGGTACTGCTGGTCTCAAGCGGACACAGTAAGCTTACTGGCCGCTTGACGGTGCGTTTGTCCGAAGTGAGGACGGTGGCGGAGCGAATGTTGCCATCGCTGCTGGTGTGTACTTCTTGGATTCGTCCAAGGCGCCAGTGGCCGCGAGGCAATTCCTCCTTGATGAGGACAACGTCAGCAGGCTTCGGAAACGTTGAGGATCGAGTCCTTGACTGCTTGAATGATGACGTGTGGGCTTCTCGCAGACTGAGGAGGTACTCGTTCCTCCAGGTGAGCCAGAACTGATCAAGGTGTCGTTGGCCCTTCTTCCAAAGGTCCAACAGGCTGTCTGCAGAGGAATTGATAGGCTGGTAATCCGGGTCGGTTGGGTCGTTGCTGACCGTGAAGAACCCCTGTGTGGCAGACAGGCTGATAAAATGACCAGGCGTCAGGACTGTGCACTGTTCTTCGTCGACATAGACTAGCGGCCGAGAATTGACGACAGACTCAACTTCTGGCAGGAGAGTGGCGAGTTGGCTGGTTGTGAGGAGGCGTCTCCCGATGGTCTTGCGCATGGAGCGTTTGACAATACCCACAAGCCTTTCATACATTCCACCCATCCACGGAGAGTTGGCAACGATGAAGTGCCACTGGATCTGATGGCGGCTAATGTAGGACGTAACACTGGTGTCCACCACAATGTTGCTCCAGGCGATGTCAAGAGCGGACTTGGCCAGCTTAAATTGGGGAGCGTTGTCAGACACAACTAGCTCTGGCGTGCCACGGCGGGCGACGAAACGTCTCAATGCGAGCAGAAACTCGGCAGCTGTCATATCGTGGACTGGCTCCAAATGAACGGCTCTGGTCACCATGCACGTGATCAGGCAGACCCATGCCTTAGCGGTTTCTGACTGTGTACGGACGAGGACTGGGCCAAAGTAGTCCAGGCCGATGTGTGAGAATGGTCGCGCTTGGGTCACTCTGGTAGAAGGTAGCGGACTCATCTGAGGTGTCTTGTATGGCGCGCCTTCGTAGCGAATGCACGTCTGACAGCGGCGCACGAGGGCCTTTACAGCTGATCTGCCTTTCGGGATCCAAAACTGATATCGGACACGGGATAGTGTGTGCGCTACGCCGCCATGCATGACCTTGAGGTGGCAATCACGTATGATCAGGTTGGCAATGGCGTGTTCCTTGGAGATCAGGACGGGAAACCTCGATTTGGAGCAGAGGTCAGCATTCTCCAGTCTTCCACGGCATCTCAGTACTCCGTTGTCGAGCACTAAGTTGAGCTTAGTTGCCAGCGGATGTTGCTTCCCACTGGACAGAGCGGTGATAACATCTGCATAGTGTGCAGACTGGCTGTGGCTGATCCAGACTTGCTCTGCTGCTTCGATTTCTCTAGGCGTGAGAGGTCCAGATGGAGTTGGTTTCTTCCGCAGCCTACAGAGGAAACGAAAGCAAAGTGCAGACACACGCACTAAAGAGTCGAACGACGAGAAGTCGTTCACAACAATGCCATATGGGAATACATCAGATTTTTTATTTGTCTGTGAACCCTGACCAAATGGCTGACCCCCCGACCCCTTTGAGGTGACTTCCGGAGGACCCTCCGCCGGCGCAACAGTGACGGTTGCTGCAGTGGTGCCTTCAATCGGCAGGCTGGGGCCGTTCCACCAGGTGTCGCATTTTAACAAGGCTGCCGCGCTCAATCCACGGGATGGCAGGTCGGCTGGATTCAGCTTTGTCGGGACGTAGTGGTGGAGAACGTCTGGAACGGCTGCGATGGCGTTGACGCGGTTCTGCTCAAAGACGGGGAGCTTCGTGGACTTGAGCCAATGGAGTACAGTCGTTGAGTCGGTGTACAGATGAGTGGCTTGGAACTGGATGTCCAGTTGCTTGCGTAGATACACGATAAGGCGAGATCCTAGGCTTGCCGCCATCAACTCTAACCGTGGGATCGTTTGACCCTTGACGGGAGACACCTTCGTCTTGCTGAAGATGATGTGCCGCTGATTCTTGTCACCGACAGTGCTTTCCAAGTACGCAACGGCAGCATAGGCGATCGCTGACGCATCGCAGAAGACATGCAACTGATACGACGGACTCTTACATGTGGGTACACCGACGTAGCGCAAGATCGGATAGCTGCTAGACTCGTCAAGGTCGGCGGCTATTGGGTGCCAGCGACTGAGGACGTCGGAGGGCAGTGGGTCATCCCATGACACAGCAAGCTTCCAGATATCTTGCATAAGAACCTTCGCTCTGATGGACACGGGGGCGAACAAGCCAAGCGGGTCGAAGAAGCGAGACAGTGCCTGTAGAACCTGGCGTTTCGTAGTGACAACAAGGTTAGCTGCATTAGGCGACTGTACGGACAACACATCCTCTCTGGGGTCCCAATGGAGACCAAGGCATTTCTCGCGAGTGCTTCTTGAGCGATCGTGTTCTGGGATCTTGTCCAAAACCTCGGAAGAGTTTGATGCCCACTCTCTAAGGTTCATGCTGATTGCGGAGAACGTCGCCTTTGCTGATTGATAGTGAGCGACAGCATCGCTGATGGTGTCCTTGCCCAGGATGATGTTGTCTACGTACGTGTTTCGGAGAATGTCGTCTGTCTCCGGTGAACAGGTCTGCGTGAGGTGGTGCTTGATCGTTGCAGACAGCAGGAAAGGGCTGGAAACAACACCGAAAGGGACTCTACAGAAACGCAGAGTTTGGAGATTGCTGTAGTTGACTGGTTGGTTGGGGTCATCCAACCACAAGAAACGAGTGACATCACGATCGGCTACGTTCAAATTCATCTGTAAGAACGCCTTCTCGATGTCACTACAGACGGCAATAGGGTGCATGCGGAAACGCAGGAGAATGCCGCAGAGATCAGGGATCATGCACGGCCCAGGGTACAGACAATCATTGAGACTGGGCGAGGTCTTCGATACACGAGCGGATGCGTCGTACACGACACGGATCTTGGTGGTGCTGCTGGACAGCTTGAGCACACAGTGATGTGGCAAGTAGTGGATTGGATGCGAGTTGTCTCTCTGGCTGGGACAAGCAACGCGTTCGATGATACCAAGTGATAGTTGCTCTTCAAGTACCTTGCTGTACTTGACGAAGGTATCAGGCTCGTGACGGAGACGTTTAATGAGTGACTTCAAACGTCCGAAAGCAAGTGGAAAGTTGTTTTCCAAAGGCGGATGTTGTTGTCGCCAAGGCCACCCGACGGTGTACCGTCCGTCCTCAAACACGACCGATAGGAGGAAGTCGTCATACGCATGATCGTTGCTGGGGCGTGTCTCACTGAGAGAGTCGAAATCTTCAACAGCCCAGAAGCGCTCAAGGTCAAACGAGGGATCTTCTCGTCGATGACTTGCTACGGCTAAAGTGGTGTTGCTCTCGATTACCGAACAGGCGTGCTCAGTTGCTACGGTGCCGGCGCAAACGAAACCAAGTGACGAGTCCAAAAGCTGCAGGCCATCGGGAAAGGAGATGCGGTCAGTGCCCAGGATCTTGTAGTAGTGATCAAGACCGATGAGGATGTCGATACACAGGCGATCGTTGGATGACGTGAGCGGCTCCGCAAGAGGAAGGGTGTTGAGGCTCGGGTGTCTGTTGGTGTCCAAGGGCACGCGCCATATCGGTGAAGTGATTTGGGGAATCACATTGGCGGACAGCGGAAGGATAGAGTCATTCTTCAGTTTGAGATTGACCTCGACGCGTGGGTACTGAGACGTGTTCCTCGATGCACTACCGAAAGTAGAGAGGGCAATGTGATCTTGACCTAGAACACTGAGGTTGGCTTTCGCCTGGAGCGCCTGCGTGACGTACGACCGGCAAGAGCCACTATCGAACAGTATACGTGCAGACAGCGTGGTCGGGGTACCGGAAGATTTGGACACTACATCTACAACTGCGGTTTGCATGACAACGGACTGATTGTCGCCTGCGACTGTGGTAATGGCAGGACGTGGCTGGAAAGGTGCCGCGTTGGCACACATTGCGGAGCTTGGGTGTGCACCGAATTTCACGGGACACAGACTGGAGTGGTGGTCAGGCTTACGACAATAGAAGCAAGGCTTCTGCAGACTACATGACGAAACACTGTGCCCTGGCCGTAGGCACCGTTGGCACTTGTCGCCTAGGCGTGGTTTCCTTGTTTCAAGAGTGCTATACTTGGAACACATGTCGGAGTAGTGACTTTCCCTGCAGAAAGCGCAGACTTTCTTTCTTGGCTGTGACTGGCGACTCGACTCGCCGACAAGAAGTACGGACGACTTATGTACGCAAGACGGCTGTTCATGTTTGCTACTGGCGGCATGACTGGACTGGCGCTCGGCTGTCTCCTGCGCTACTATATACGCACACAGTTTGACTCTCAGCTCGGCGACAGACCATGGATCGATGCCTTTCTGCAACTCAAGTTGCGCAAGTACGTGACGCGGAAGCTTGCTGGTCATCAGTGAAATGAAGATCGGTTGGTCAGTGTCTTCTTCAAGAGCGTTGAGACTGCGTAGATGTAGTTCTACCGTATCGTACAGCTTACGGAGCGAGGACGGCTTGTTGGTTGCCGGTGGAGTTTCCATCAGGGCGACATGGTGAGCATTAACCTGCACCTGCGTGTTGCCATAACGCTCGTCGAGCAGGCCAAGAGCAACAGCATAATTAGCATCTGACAGAGACAAACCAGAAATGGTGTCGAGTGCATTGTGTGTCACATGCTCCTTTAGGTAGGAAAGCTTCTGTACATCGCTTAATCCAGTGTGTTTGTGTACGGATGCCATGAACATGTCGTGGAAAGACTTCCATTGCAGGATGTCACCGTTGAATTTAGGTAAACCTAACTTTGGTAAATTGACAGTGGACTTGTGAGATGCTTGAGTGGTGAGTGATTCACTATGCTGTTGTAGCAGAGATTGAGTTTGTTCCTGTGTTTGACGATGAATGGTGAGTAACTCTTTCATCTGGCTTTGCATTAGCTTGACAACTGAGTCGTCGTCCGATTTGTTAGTACTCGACTCTGGAGAGGTCTGACAAACTGCTGCTGATTTCAGTTGAGAAATTCGGAATTTGAGCTTTTTGATCACGCTCATAGCTTCAAACTGGAAGTCCAGATTATCGTCTGCTTCCTGTTTACAAGCAGCTTCGTCAGAGCTCTCCAGGGCGGAGGAATCAACACAATTTGACAAAAGCTCACAGACCTCATCAAATGCTACGACATCGGACTCTAAAGATGCACATGTTTCACTTAGCTTTTCTGCTGTTGCAGATGAGGGAGCTCCAGACAATAATGCGTTGCCGTCATCGAGGCATTGCTGGATGCTCTTCTGCAGCCGAAGTATCTTGCCGCGATACCGCTTAGTTGATGCCGGATTAGGAGCATCGGCACTCGAAGCCTTTTTTGGTGGCATTCCCGGGTTTCGGCACCAAGTTTGTGCGCAACTTTGAACTGTTGAGTGGGAGAGCTTGTATAGCCACGCACAAATACGTCTTGGTAACTCAAATATGGAGTGGTTCCGGTTCACGGAACGACATTGCACTTGTTACTCGAAAGGATTAGGTGACTTGAAAAGGAGTGTCACCAGAAAACCTTATTTGAGACAAGTTCTAGTTAGTTGAGACAAGTAGAGACAAGTAGAGACAAGTGAAGCATGCAAAAGGGGAAAGGCAGCAAAAAAGGAGCCACAGGCTCGCTGCGCATGCTCCGGGCTGAGAGCTGCAAAACGGTGCACGCGATGCGTGCAGCAAGACATCAGCATGACGTCAACATGATGTAACACATAAACAAATAAAGACATAATGAGCGTAACGCGGATTCGTGATGCATATTCACGACAGTCACACCTGTACATTAGCACCAGAATACTAGGTTGACTACCTAAAGGCTCCTGCTTGGGTTCTCATCATTCTTCTCCGATGCTAGTCAAGACTTGACATGGCGTCAGACGTGGGAGTTCCAACCCACGCCTGCATAAGTAGGCATGGAGTATAGAGGGGGGTATGAAAGTATGGAATCAAGCAAGAGTATGAGACTCTGAGGCATGGCTGATCAAATACGAGTATGATTGAATGTTTAAAAGTGTATGCGGGATGTGGTTGACTGAATAGTTTAGGAATCATGAAATGATTTTGAAAGAAGACTTAGTCGGAGGGAAACATATTAGCACAGAAGGAGACGAAGCCAGTTGTAAATCTGACGAGGCCTTTCGTTGTGCTTCACCACATTATCACCGTCTATTGATTTGAGAAGCAATGGTACAAAAGGCCTCATCAGATGTTCAACTGGCTTCGTCTCTCCGTGTGCTAAGAATCATTGAATGTTTCAACGCATGACATGTCTTTGTGCATGGGTAGTGAACGACTCTTGCCTACTGGTGTGTGCGTGTGTCTTGTGCAGGGTCTACACAACAAGGGTGTGTTCATAGCTACGCAGGGACCACTCACCAGCACTGTCGTCGAGTTCTGGGCAATGGCCTGGGAGAACTTCACACACAGCATTGTCAACCTGACACAGCTGATGGAACATGACAAGGTGTGTATACTCGGACCGATACGATTACATGTATACTACAGTGGTGCCAGGCAAGTGAATTCCGACCACTGATTTCCGTGCTCGAGTGCAGCACCGATTCTAGCCGTCTCTATTTCGTAGCGTACTAGTAACTAGGTCTTTCAGTGTGAGTGCACCACCCCAGGTGTCGGATTTCAGTTGCCAGCACTTTAGGTTCAATCCTAAAGTCCTGCTTGGCAGTAGAAGGATTTGCAAACCATGCTGCGGCACACAGTCAATTGGGAACGCATGCCCTAAGATAAGAGTGTTGTGAATGGAACTTTCAGTCTCCGGCCACTTTGTAGTCGGTCCGATCAACTCACCTCTCATCACTTTTGGCGCTGCATCGGTACATTGACGCTTAACTCGAGGATGGTGGAAATGCTTCGGATGCGGAAAAATCAATTCGACTGAGTCTCGTTGAGATTTGGTATTCCACCTGTAATGGCACCTTTGGAGTTCACCATTTCATTCACAGCACTTTATGCAACTAAAGCCATAGTTGGTGTTCCACCTGTAATGGCGCCTTTGGAGTTCACCATTTTCATTCACAGCACGTTATGTATTGTAACTAAAGGCATTATCTAAATATGTACGGGTGTGCATGTCTTCAGATCAGAGACTGGTAATACACGTGCATGCCTGCCGACTTTCTGTGTGTGCAGGAGATGTGCGCCCGCTACTGGCCCGAATCAGGCTCCGCCACATATGGACACTTCGAGACCAGTGTGGAGTCCGAGGAGAAGTACGACGACTACAGCATCATCAAACTGAGTGTGACCAATACGAAGCAAAAGGTGAGAGACACTCGGATGGCATCTGCTCACACCTGATGGGGGCGATTTAACCTTTTTGGCCACATGGATTTACAGCTTTATTAGCACTGACTTGTAATGCGGAGCACGCCTTTCTGCTATTCTCTCACATTTCTGTACTTGGATCATTCAGATATTTACGTGTGACCTAATTGCTGTGTGACTGTTCCCACGAGGACAAAGTATACACCATCATAATAAGTATGTATTCACTTGGATCACTCATATAATTTTATTTTTTTACATGTGGCCTAATTGCTGTGTGACTGTTCGTAGGAGGACAATGTGCGCACCATCATAAGTATTTGCCATGGCTGGCTATAATCGCCCTCACCTCCTCCTTGATTGGCCTTGGCCATGAGTGTGTGCGTAATAATAATAATTTCTTCACTTAAATCACTCATTCTAATTATTTACATGTGGCACAATTGCTGTGTGGCTGTGCGCAGGAGGACAATGCACGCACCATCACCCTGTTCCACTACCGGACTTGGGAAGAGCAAACATGTCCGCCGTCACCTGGATCAGTGCTGCAGCTCATCGAGCGCCTTCTCAAGAACCAACAGCAGACTGGAAACAAGAAGATCATTGTGCAGTGCAGGTGAGTAGGTAGTCATGGTCACAGGTTTCAACATGGCCGATCTGTGTTGAGTACTGCATATGGCATACCTGCCGCCCATCCCGATTTAGCATGGACCGTTCCGATATCGAGGGTGGTAATAGGCACCCAGAAGTGCATTGGTCACATGCCTCACAGCTACGTTTGTATGCATGTTCATAGCTAGGTATGTCATTGTCCCGATCTCAGGTTTGCAAAGGTTGGCAGGTATGATATGGGTACACTGGTTTGGCCAGTAGACATAGGTGTTCCAGTATGCACTAGACAGATGTGGAATGTGTGTCCTGCAGCGATGGCTGTGGCCGCAGCGGTGCCTTCATCGCGCTGTATCGCAGCTTGGAGCGCATGAAGCTGGAGAATGTGGTCGACGTCTTCCAAACAGTCAAATCGATGAGAACCCAGCGGCCGCACATGGTTTGCACCGAGGTTAGTAGGTTGTAGAGTGGTGTGACATCTTTTTGTAATATGACATAGATGACTCTAATTATTTGTACGGAAAGTGACCATGATCATCTTTTTGTCATCTGACTAAGTTTGTGTCGAAAGTGATGATGACATACAGACCGTGAAACCCGGCAACAAGGCCACATCATGTAACACATAGATGTAGACGCTGACAAAGCCCCAGGCGTGGGAAGTTACACTCATCATGCTGGACTGCATTTCTTGATGTTGTGTAGTGTTAGCCACGGTTGCTGTGGCTGCTGATGTTTCAAATCTTTATTCTCATGATAGCCAGTGGCCAATAAGAGATATTAGTGTAAGAAAGGAGAAAGAGTGAGGAAGAATTGGGTGGGCAGAGCCTAGGGGTTAATGACTACTTAAGTGTGCGGCAGGGGTGGTCGCTACACGAGCATACAGAGTTGTGCAACAGCAGGGATATCTGGGATTTGAAGAGAGTACGAGAAGGGATTTCGCGAAGCTGGGTGGGCAAGCAATTAAAGTAATGAAGGGCCTTGTACAGGGGAGAATGGAGACAGCGGTCAGTCCGCGGAGTTGGCAAGTGCCAAGTACGAGCGACGTAAATGATACGAAGGTTGCACGCTGCTAGCAGTATGCAGCGAGAGTATATGCGGTGGGGCATAAGTGTGGCGCAGAGAATGCGCGAAGAGTATATGTTTAACTTTAAAGCGTGAAAATAATGTTGGCCATTTGATGCGATGCAAAAGGTGGGAGTGTTCTAAGTGTGTGTAAAGGGGAAAAAAAAAATTCACGGTTCGCGTGAGACTCGGCCAAAGGCCCAGTTTTCCGCATCCGCAGGAACGCCACCACCCTCTTGGATCAAGGCGCAGATGCAGCTCCTAAGCGGTGGGAGGTGAGTAGATCAGACCCACCACAAAGTGGTCAAAGACCGAAATCCCATTCACTGCATCCATGTTTCCCTCGTGCCAGGCCACGAGTTCCCAATTAACTGTGGGTCGCAGCACGGCTGGAAAAAATCCTTCCGCAAAGGGGAAGGTGGAGACATATTCTGGCGGCTTTGCGCTGGAGTCGTTCTAGCCTGTCAAGGGAAGTGTGTGACAACGCTGTGAGAGCATTGCTCGCATATGAGAATATAGGTAGTATGTATGTCTGATAGATGTGAGATAAAGAATCACTGGTGAGTGTAGACCTTAGTCTAAAAAGAATATTGAAAGACTTGAGTGATTTTTTGACTATGTATTCAACATGCTCCGGCCAACGGAGGTCATGCTGAAAGATTATTCCGAGGTGTTTGTGTTATAATAATGTTGGCCATTTGATGCGATGCAAAAGGTGGGAGTGTTCTAAGTGTGTGTAAAGGGGAAGGTGGAGACATATTCTGGCGGCTTTGCGCTGGAGTCGTTCTAGCCTGTCAAGGGAAGTGTGTGACAACGCTGTGAGAGCATTGCTCGCATATGAGAATATAGGTAGTATGTATGTCTGATAGATGTGAGATAAAGAATCACTGGTGAGTGTAGACCTTAGTCTAAAAAGAATATTGAAAGACTTGAGTGATTTTTTGACTATGTATTCAACATGCTCCGGCCAACGGAGGTCATGCTGAAAGATTATTCCGAGGTGTTTGTGTTTTTGTGCTACGGTAAGCGGACTATTCCTGAGGGTGATCTGGGGTAGCTGTTCAGGGGGGGGGGGGGGTATTGTGGTAGAACGGGAGGATGACTGTTTTCTTTGTGTTAACCAGCAGGTGCCATGTTGTCCACGCCGTTGATAAACTTGTTATTGGTGTTGCTGCTGCATCTGCTGCTGCTGTTGCTGGTGCTGCTCTTGTTCCCGTCCACACTGCTTTTGTATTTGATTTCAGGATCAGTATCGGTTCATCCATTCAGCTGTTGCTGGCTATCTTTCAAGCCTTGAAGACAACGGTTACGATAACTTCAAGGTCTAACTCACTGCGCACTCTCTGCGTAGAGTTCACCGTACTCACTGTGTATTTTCTTCGTAGACTTCACCGTTCCAAAGTAGCGCCATGCTACCAGCGTCCTCAGCGATCCAACCATTATTCAGTTTCTTATTCGCATTCTCACCTTCTTGTACATGCTCTCTTCGTCCATTTTTCTCAATATTTCGACAGTTTTACTTTCCCCCGGCCCTCATCCTCTTCTTCTTTTTCTTGTTTTAGTTTCTACGCATTTTTTGGTTATGGACCACTTCCCTCTTATGGCTGAGCTAAGATATACCATGCATCCAACCATGCATGCTCCCGTTGATCCGCGCGCGACGTTAGAATGTGAATGAAAGAAGAAAGTTTAGGTGCTGTGAAACTATCCCTCTCCTTACCCTGTTTATGGATCCATTCCCTCCATCATGCTATTGCCGTATTTGCTGCATGGCCCATCAAGGGAAACCCCCTACCAGTTCAGTATTGTTTTTGTGCCCACACTGCTTCCATCACAATATCTGCCACCGTTTCAGTACCATCATATTACATGTGTTTCGTATTACACCGTATCCCTTTTCTGCATAGTACTGGGCGCATGAGGCAGCTCCTGCTCTCCCCTGCAGGCCTGAGCGCCACACATGGCATCGATCAGTGCATAAAATAAATTTAATTGAACAGGCGCCAATGCCTCTAATTAACTTTACGTGCATACTGATTTGCTTCATTCCTTCTGCTGCTTGCAATAAAGTGCATGACTGTATTTTCATTCTTCAAAAATGTGCATGTTGCTGGTACCACCGGTGACCTTGGCAAGGAATTCGACAATATCGATACCGCTGGTCACTCAACCAAGTTTCTTCTTTGCCGCTGTTTCTCCGTTCTGCAGCAGAGCAGAGCTGAAGTAATGCTGCCGAGTGTCTTATGCTGTATACATGTATGCATGCAGATTGTCTCCATGATACTTTCATGCTCTGGCTTCTTCATCTCTAAACCACTTGATCAAAGTTTCATATTTGCAAGCTTCTCATTTTACACTTTCCTCTTCTGTTTGAAAATAATGATAAGGTCATGTATGTCACCCAAGTGCACTCGGCCTCATATCAGGCCAATGATGTAGTTTGTGTCTGTGGGACTGGCAGCAGTGGAGCCAAGCCTGGCAACGCAGTCGCAGGTACCCCTACTACCCCAACGGTATGGCTGGGCGGGAAAGCGACGAGTCACCCCAGAAGCAACGACTCCCTATACACGACTGTAGTCTACAAAACGCTAGTCTACGGACTCAATGTCGTTGACCCAGACCGGACAACGGGTTGGAGTCGAAGAACTCAGGCGCTAGATTCGTAGTGGTCTACCGACTCGAGTTAGCGTCTGTGCTGTGTTCTTCGACTCCCAGTGTCCCACCTCATGTCCGGTTAGCTAATTAGCCTCACAGTGTCACACCAGTGACACCACCAACGTCGCGCCTCAGTACGGATACCGATACCCATCAGCTGAATACTGTCCTACACCTCCTCTGTAGCTGCATGTCTCGCGTCTTATGGGGTATTCACACGACAGGCAAATCCAGGCGGAACTACCAGTCATGTCATGTCATGTCAGTTATGGTAAATCTACACGTCTGCAAACCTAGCACGAACAGTTCACCAGCAACACTCCAAGACACAAGCAGTACTACTCTCGACAAGCTCGTTTCCTTCCAAAAGCTCACTTGGTTTCTGACTTCGCACCCATCGATCTCTATCACCACTCCAGTAACCATGGTAACGTGTAGATCTACAATCGTTTTAAAAAGTGCAACCGATATCGATCTGTTCACCTCTCCCTCTGACCGAATTCGCACCTCCGCTACAACTCGTAGTTGCGTCTGGTTGGGCCCATTACTGCCACAACAGTCAACACCAGATTGCCAGACCGTCTAGCCTCTACTCTAGGGCTTTTACGACTCCCTGGTCAGCACCAGGGAGTCGTATAATTATTATGTACGACTCCCTGGTCAGCACCTCCATCCCACACTCATTCCGGTTGTGTCAGTTTTTCGCACAAAGAGGTGCCCCCCCCCCCCCGAGTTTTGGCGGCACTCCCTGGCATCGATCATCCCAGTGCAGTGCCGGCGGCCGCAGAACGTTCGTCTCAGTTCCGACAAGCCTAGGCTTGCAAGCAGAACAGCTCGGTGTACAGCTCGGTGTTCTGGCTGCTGTTCGCTGCGTCGTTGACCGAAGTCGTCGCTGTACTGTGTACTTACCTGTATCGGTAAGCGGTGTAGAGGGCAGTATAGTAGTGGGGAATTCATGTCCTGGACTTCAAATTATGCGCGAAAAGGGACACGGAAGTAAGTTCCATTCAGCCCAGCCAAGCTGCAGCATTGTAACTTCTGCTCCGACGGTGACGGTGACGATGGCGGAGCTCTTGACACCGAAGTCGCGGCTATGGGAGTCGAGGCTTCGACGGACAACAACCGAACAAGGCCAAGAAGTGGCCTGTCACCGTAGCCGGTAGTGAGTACTGTACATCGCGGACAAGAGGACAACGACCCGTACTCGTAGCGACCCTGCTATTTCCGGTGGCGTGTCAACGACAGATCCCTGACTCCTCCTGACTCCTGACTCCTGACTCCTGAGCGAAAGCCTCAAATATCTCCGAAGAGGAACGGGTGACTGCATGGTAGAGAGCGGACGAAGCGGTTCACGGTGAGTTGGTGCGTATAAGGCCGAGCCAATCAATGATAGCTAGCAGGGCCGTAGCTACCCGCAGCACCCGGGTCCGGCTTATTTCGAAAAAGTAACAGTTGACCCGCTCAACTGGTGCAAAACATTGTAGTGTAGTTTTGTCAATACTAGTAGTGCTCATTTCCGGGTCAACAATCCCACTTGGCCTAGGCTAAAGACTAAGTCACGGTCCTACGGCCCTGGCATAGCCATTTTGGGGATACTCAAGAGTAGATCTACTAAAGTTGTCGCAAAAAAATCCTGCCAATGCCATGAATACAGTGTCACTGGTATGGTACGCGTTCACCGGCGCGGCGGTTCTTCATGGTGGTATGCGTGCATTTACCGCAGTCAGTACCAGCACAGCACTGAGCAGTCGGGGATCGGCGCTGCACTCTGCCTAGCCCTAGGCCCTTGCCTAGCCTGCTGCAGTCGTACTGCATACGGCCCATGCACCGCACAGCATGCCGGTAGCTTAGCATAGCTTTGGCTGGATTTTTTTTGGCGACGACTGTAGTATGTCGCCACTGCTACTAGCCCGGCTGTCATGCAGAAGGGTGTGTGGGGGGGGGGGGGTTACTGTACATTTGAAAGGGCAGGGTTGTCTGCACTGCTTTGCTTTACATGCCTGTTTCCTTTTTCCTGGTGCGTGCTCGTGGCATTGAAACCGAGACCTTTGGTCGGTGGAGCCCCTGGAACCTCACCATCACTGCTGCCCAGTGCAGCCCCTACTCAGTAGCTGTTTGTTTTTGTCCACATAATTATTTATTTTACGAGTTGGGTTTGTGAATAATAAAAATAGGTAAAAAAAAAAACTACCCAAACGCCCACTAAGGCTAAGGTCCTGTCGCCTACTGTGCTGCTCGACTGATGATGAAATCCGATCGCGTAAGTCAAGTTAGTTTGTCAGTCAATTTAGCGCCCAGCACCAGTTCACCATCCCAGTTTTTGCAGTGCGTGGCGTGACACTGACTCGATCAGATTCCATTGAGTGGCACTGTATGATAGGCTAGAACTACACAGCTCCAGTCCCTCCCCTGTCATCAACCTTCTGGGAACTATCACACTACTATTAGTAATTACACATACATGTAAGCCTGGTCCAACTGTCGGGGTGTACAGGACCAGATCACATTCACAAATTTAATCAGGATAATAGGAGTCTCCTGGGGGAGGCTTGCAGTCAGCGGGAAGGATCGGGTCTTTCCGTGGTCAGCAGGGAAGAGGGGGGAGGAGGGTTAGGCCTGATTCATACTTCACTTCGCGTATACGGAAGGGAAACACTGGCACGATGGGCCAAACAAGTTAAGCTCGACTAGAGAGGGCCTCAGCATCTGCTCCAGAGCCAGATCAGCGCCCCGGTTATGGATCAGTACTTGGACCGCTTGGAAAAAGAACACCGCACAAGTTGGGACTCAATCGGGGAGTCCTAAGACCCCCCGAAGTACGATCGCCGCACTAGATTGCAGGGATGAATTTATCCTGTATCGCATCGAAGTTTGCGAGGCGAAATCGATCTACTGCTACTCAAAAGTCACCGTGACTCGCAGAAAACTGCGATACAAAGAGTAACATGCATACTGTGCAGTGTATGTGGTGCAGGTACTCTCAACCTGCGTAAACCTGTACGCTTCAGTCGTTTTCTACAAATGGGCTTTCAGGCATTACTCTCAACAAGGACAATCTGGTAAACGCCCAACCTTCAAAGAACAAATGCTAATCAAAATCAAAGACTGCTACACAATTGTGATTTTGTATAGCAGAAACTGCTATGCAATAATATTACAGTAAAAATGCATCCCTGGAATGTACCCGGGACTGACCCGGTTGCAAGAGTTGTGCCAGGTACACGTGTACCCGGTTGGTTTGAAACCCTAGAGCCGATACGCACTGGGCTGGGACGGCGAGGCTGAGTGGTTTCGTGCCATAGTCCCCACGCTGCATTTGTACACACCGATCGGTCCAGGTTTCCCTTGCAGCAAATGCAGTCCTTCCGTACATGTTTTACGGGGTCATTGCATCAACTTTCCTTCCAACGTTATCACACACATGCACACACCTGCCCGGGAAAGATTGCATGCTTTTCTGCCTTTGGAGTCCATGGGTACGTTTGATCATGCTGGTCCAGTTGCAAGTTGCAGTTGCAAGGCTAAACCGATTCACCTTGCCGGCACTCTTGAAATGATAGGCCTTGGCCCTTCTGATTAGATTCCTGATGAGGTGAGTCAGTTAGCGTCCAATGCGGGGACTGCTGTTCAGTGGTACAGGGTGCTGCTGAGCCCTGGACCTGTGTCCATGCACTGGGCTGTACACTAGTGCAGGGCTGAATAGGGCCCTTGACCTCCATACACTGGGCCTCTCACCGGTGCATGCTACCGGCGCTGTCCAGAGTTCATGATCCAGGGTTCATGATCCATGATCACATTGCACATACCTACGGAAGAAGGGGAGACAAAACGAAGACGAAACAAAAAAGACAATGGGTGTGTAGGCGCTACATGAGCTGCGCTCGTGAGATGCAGTGGACTCCCCCGACCAAGGGTCTCGGGATCGGCGTACACAACAAGCACCATGGCAGAGGGGGGGAGAGGAATGGCGGAGAGAGAGTGAGAGCGAGAGAGAGAGAGAGAGAGAGAGAGAGAGAGAGAGAGAGAGAGAGAGAGTGAGAGAGAGAGAGTTTAAGAGAGAGAGAGAGAAAGAGAGAGAGAGAGAGAGAGAGAGAGAGAGAGAGAGAGAGAGAGAGAGAGAGAGAGAGAGAGAGAGAGAGAGAGAGAGAGAGAGAGAGAGGGAGAGAGGGAGGGAGAGAAAGAGAGACAGAGAGACAGAGAGGGAGTGCACAAGAAAGAAGAGAGAGAGAGATGGGTAAGTGAGGGAAAGAGAGAGAAAGAGGTGGAGAGATATAAGTATAGAGAGAGAAAGAGTTCTGTGGCATATCGTCGCTATGACTATAATGCTACTTTGAGAAGAGGGTCAACATAATAATTTGCGTCCACTGATGGCAGGCCAGTGTGATACATGTGCATGGCTAGCACCAGTCATGAGCAGAACACCAGTCACTCTGTTGCAGGTGACGGTATGCAGCAATCTTGAAGCTCTGCAGGTGTTTCCGGGCTGGCTGCTTGTCCAGAATTGCCTGTGGCAGTCTATTCCACACTGGCACGATGCAGTATGGGAAAGAGTGCAGAAGGTAATCAGGAGCTCGTGGCGAGAGATTCAGCTCAAGCTGGTGGGGATGGTGCTGTGCTTGGGCTGCTCGTGTGTGACGATGACGTGGCAGTATAGCCGGCGGGGGACACATGGCTGCAACTTGAGGCAGACCATGGCTACACATCAGTTTGTACAGTAGGCAGAGAGCAAAGGCCTTTCGCGGAACAAGGAGGCTGGGAAGAATGGTACCAGGGCCAATGACATTTAGGGCGCGGAGCTGGACAGCATCCAGCATGGCCAGGTGTGAGGGAGCTGATCCCATCTACGCAAGGGGGGGGGGGGCATATTCCAGCATTGGCTTGACGAATCCTTTGTAAACAGTCACCCTGCCCGCTTGGCTGAGGAGGGGTGCTGCCTTCCAGGGTTATACCCTTGGTAGCAGGCCGTACTGGTACTGTCGTGGACACGGACATCCGGTCGCATGTCTAGCGGCCCCAGGGCACTGGCCAAGCAGCCGTAAGGCGGTGTTTACATGAGGCGTTTCAACCCGGGTCAGATTTCAACCCGCCATGTGCATGAAATGAATGGCGCGTTTACATGACGCATTGCGCTTGACCCGGGTTGAAATTTCGCCCCGGGTTGATTTCAACCCTCCCCCCAGGGCCAGGGAGGGTTGAAATCAACCCGGGTCAAGAAAATCGTACAAACGTACTTCTGTGCGTATCTCGCGCCAGGTTTGAACGGCACTGCAGATGCAAATTTCGCGCGAACGGATGCACGTGACCATACAGGACTGTAGAAGTGGACTTTTGGCGGCATATCAGTATTTGACCCGGGTCAACTGTCTTCATGTAAACGCTCACCTCTTTTGTCTATCGTACAGACTTTCAACCCGGGCTGAACTCGACCCGGGTTGAAATTTCTCATGTAAACACAGCCTAAGCATTCGGTAGATCTACACACATTCATTTATGCGCTGTAGCGCGCTGATTGCATCGGATCAACTTGAGCACTGCATGCAACGTTCTCGTACGCACCGAGGGTGCCGGCCCAGTCATTCGACTGGATTTTCATGTCCACGACAGAAGTACAATACCGGTGTTGTACTATTCCCTGCTTGATACTATGCGATCCCAGACCTGTAAATGCAGGCTGTTCACTGGTGCAGCCCCAGACCTGCCAACACTGCCATGTGCCCTGGTGCAGGACTCAGTAGGCAGGCGGGTCCCTATAGGTAGTCTAGAGGCTGGTGAAGGACTCAGTAGGCAGTCGGATACCTATAGGCAGTCTATTGGCTGGTGCAGGACTCAGTAGGCAGTCGGGTCCCAATAGGCAGTGTAGAGGCTGGTGCAGGACTCTGTAGAAAGTCAGATTCCTATAGACAGTTTAGAGGCTGGTGCAGGACTCAGTAGGCAGTCGGGTCCCTATAGGCAGTCTAGAGGCTGATGCAGGACTCAGTAGGCAGTCGGGTCCCAATAGGCAGTGTAGAGGCTGGTGCAGGACTCAGTAGGCAGTCAAATCCCTGTAGGCAGTCTAGATGCTGGTGCAGGACTCTGTAGACAGTCGGGTACCTATAGGCAGTCTGGAGGCTGGTGCAAGACTCAGTAGGCAGTCGGGCCCCGATAGGCAGTCTAGAGGCTGATACAGGACTCAGTAGGCAGTCAGGTCCCCAAGGACTCAGTAGGCAGTCAGGTATCCGTACAGGCAGTCTAGAGGCGGGTGCAGGGCGTTGACCTAATGGAGAGATTCAGATTCCACCCCCTACACGCGTCAGACGGACGTGTGTAGGGGATGGAATCCCTGTCTTTTTGCGCTTTTCTCGCACACACACATGCACACGTCCAGGTTCTTCTTTTCTTACTATCAAATAATTACACAACCTGTGTGATTCCTGGGTCTGACCTGACTGCGCGCCGGCTACGTTTGCATTCAGGTCAAGTGCATCTTAATCGCTCTATTCACGAGGCTGCGCTTCCCTCTCAATGATAGTACTTCTGTGGCTGTTGCTGGAAGTAGAAATATGAACCAATACGGCGCAAAGTTAAACTGCAAACACATTATCTAGCGAACATAAAGAACGGACCAGCGTCGACAAGAGAGTGATATAAATCTAGTGTGAACAGACCATATGAAAAAGAATTCCGGGCCAACTACATGTTTTGAATACAAGTAATATGATGGCAAATGCCTGTTGGCAACAGTTAAATTTTCTGCTGGCACTTCAACTACTTATGATTACCTGTTTGATGGGTTACACTTGCTTCAAAAAAAAAGTAGCCAAGACACAGACACACAGTCTCTGTAAATAAATTTCAATAAGTAAATTAGCATAGGACTTCACGTCCTCTGATCTGGCAGTTTGTCCCGTACAAGTATTCGCGCGCGTGGAGATTCAATCCCGTCCGATGGTGTGTGTGACTGTCGGTCTATCCACTCTGCAGATATACTCTGCCGGGACAAAGTACCCAGTGTAGCGCACGTCGGCCGGTGTGACGTCATAGTGATAATGGCCGCCTTCGCCATGGTGACTGAAGCAGTGTGTGTGCTCTACACGAAGGTCGAGACCCTGGTGCATAGAAAGAATGTGAACCGCACGAAGGAAACGTGCAAATATACCCAGTCCGACGTGCACGCACAAACGCATGCATGCGCACAAGCACACACATAGACACACACACAAAGACATGCACGAGCGCATGCACGCACACGCGCATGCACACACACACACACACGCGCGGATATATACACACACACACTTGAATGATATGCAGAGAGATACAACCACAAGGCCCCGGAGCTCTGACAGCAAGGCTAGACAAAACGCCACAGCATAAAAAAAATTAGAAACCCATACCGGTAAATCCAGTAAAACCTGGCCTAACCGGACGCCCTTGCCTTGGTGCAGCGCACACTGGCCTGGTATGACAGGATTCCGCTTGATCCAGGGATGAACGTTCAATTCACAGCACCTTGGTGCATGAACATTTGTCTGGTCGATACAGGAATCCGCTTGGTATAGGCGCCGGCAAACACAGGTTTTACTGTACACAGCTTCTATACTAACGATGACAGCGGATGGCCCAGCACTGAACATACTGCTTCTAAAGTCAACGCCACACAAACTGGAAGCTCCGGTGTGCCGGAGCCACAAGCAGAAAATTCAGGGTACTGTGGGAGTTGAAAGTGGGGCGAGTCTAAAGTTTAACGATTCGCAAATTTTCCGACTTGCTGGCACAACGTAAAACGACCCTGCCCTGGCATACCCGTCCTTTAATTCTCTAGTACAGAGGAGAGAAGGAAGAGCACATGCATAGAGACATGGTGTTACTTAATATTGACTACCTAATATCTTACCGGATCACGACTGACAAATGTTGATAGGCAGGTGAGAGGCGCATTGGCATTGTAAAACATGAGCCAGTCTTCTACATCCTTGTCCGAGTGGAGAGGAGTGCTGGAGAAATCCGGCTGAAAAAAAAAGAAAAGAAAAAAGATGCCAACGACAAAAAGAACAAGAAGGCTAACATCACGAAAAGCGTGTTCTTCCTTTGTCTGCACTGATGACGGGAAAAAGGGGAGAGCTTCCGCTGTGCTCCTGTGCCAGCTGGAGTGTCTAAGTTCAAGTAATTTCGACGCTAGAATGGAGATAGGGTGTGACAACAACATAGCCTTCAAGTTTTAAAGGCAACGTTAAAATTGTACGACTCAAGTACAACAACCTAATTTTTGTTGTCCACGTTTCACGGGAAGTTCTTTCCGAAGAGCGAGTTGCTGAGATTACCAGTGCAGTAGCGTTTGTTCCTCTCCTGAAGGAGTGACGGTATACCCAATCCCCCCTGAATGGCATTGCATGTATTTCACGCGATAAAACTAAGTATCTTTCCTCCCAATAAAATGCATAGACAGACAGACCCACAGACGCACAGACAGACAGACAGACACGCACATCCACACACACACGTCAATCAAGAGCTTAAAAGGCGCAGCTAGAAAAGTATCTGGTGGATTTTCTAGCTGCACCTTAGCTGGTGTTTCATTGCTTGGAGAATTTTAAGCTCTTTCTTGATGTGAGCTACATATACCCACCCAGACAGACACAGAGACACACATACAGTCAACTTCGCTAATAATGACTGCGGATATAACGACAATTCGCGAATAACGACAGAATTTCCATGCCCAGAGAAAAATTCCCATCTAACTGTAATACATATAATGAGACTTCGGGTATAAGGACACTTCGCGGATGAGGACACTTTTCGGATGCCTCGCCGAATGTCGTTATTCGCAAAGTTGACTATTCGTATCACAATGTAGCCGAAACCTCAAACTAACCATGATATGCATCTTCGCACTGCCATTCTCGATCTGAAACACTCCGCCGACGCCAACCGACTTGTCTCCGTAGCGCTCAGCCAGTGCCAGGCGCATGGCCGTCACGAAATTCTTCTCACCGCTGCGGTTGGACACTGTCACACGGATCACCTACAGATGGACATGTGACACAAGACAGGTGGAGCAATTTTCAGCTACAAAAAAGAGTGTGCTAAAATCGAATGGTTTCACTGCGAATTCCTGATGAATCTACTTGCTTGAGTACTGGGCGATTTAAAGGCTAGGATTGCAAGACAACACAGGCATAGTCATGGTCAGTGGTGGCCTGCATTGCAAATTACTTGACTCCATAGTGGAAAGTCTGCAAATAGACGTGTACGTTAGCCCGGCAAGAGTACACACACACACACACACACACACACACACACACACACACACACACACACACACACACACACACACACACACACACACACACATAATATTATTATTATGACTGTATATTATTGCCTGATGCTCGTAGTAATACGTGAAACTCAGAGTTGTGAAAAAGCTTTCAATCTCTCTTGTGTAATATTATGTATATCGGTAGGGATTGTGTTAGCCCGGCAGGGGTACATATATCGGTAGGGATTGTGTTAGCCCGGCAGGGGTATATGTATAATGTATATCGGTAGGGATTGTGTTAGCCCGGCAAGGGTATAATGTATATCAGTAGGGATTATGTTAGCCCGGCAGGGGTATGTATATCAGTAGGGATTGTGTTAGCCCGGCAGGGGTATGTATATCAGTAGGGATTGTGTTAGCCCGGCAGGGGTATAATGTATATCAGTAGGGATTGAGTTAGCCCGGCAGGGGTATGTATATCAGTAGGGAGTGTGTTAGCCCGAGAGGGGTATAATGTATATCAGTAGGGATTGTGTTAGCCCGGCAAGGGTATGTGTATATCGGTAAGGAGTGCGTTAGCCCGGCAATGGTATATGTATCATGTACATGTAGTTGTATATCGGTTGGCAGTGTATTCTTACCTTGCCTGGTTGTCCACGGGAGATGGACAAGTTGGCCAGCAAGCTGAACTCGTTGGTTTTGTATTCTTCAAGAACACACTCCGTACCCTGCACACAGACATGGCGGCAACACGCCCGAACACACACGAGTGTGCGCGCACACACACACACACACACACACACACACACACACACACACAGAAACACACACACACGTACACAACGGCTTCAAACTCCACAATCACCAAGACTCTTTGCCTTTGGTCTACTAGACCTAGTAAGTACTGCATGGTACTTGAGTATACTGTATGTCAGTCTGCTTGTTTGTACCACGTATGATCATTACTGTACATAACAAGGTGGAGGATACACTCACTGTATGGAAAACACTGTTCCTGGCTGCAACCAGAAACCCGTTGGTAGAGTCCCGGTCTTGCGACCATATGAACTGTATGGGGAAGCTCCCTGCTTCAACTCACAGGTACAGTCGACTCCACTTAAAACGCACTCGCATATAGCGAATTTCGTGACATAGCAAACCGTTGGCCATGTCCCAGTTTGAACCCACAGTGTGTGTATTTCTGTTATAAGTTATAACGAACTTCGGCTACGTGTTCGTTATAACAGGAGTCTACAAATTACTACAATACTTATTAGTACGCATGTGCTCAGTGGAATAGCAAGAAGGCAACAGTACAGTACAGTTCACTTACTGTCTCACCCACGCGTGCTGTGTAGGACAGCTTCTTGTCGGGATCTGACGTCAGGTTATTCGGCATCATCTAGTGTGGCATGCATGTGCACAAACAAGCATGCCCGTACACACACGGATGCATGCATGCATGCATGCATGCGTGCAAACACGCAGACACACACACATACAGGGTGCACAGAAAACATATGTCACGCCACATGGGTTGATGATTTATTTGTAGGTTTGTGTAGGTTCACTTGCACATGCACACATGTACTTTTTAGTATTATCACAGAATAGGCAAGCAAGTGGGAACAAGAATGCGCATAGACAGACAGACAGACATACAGACATACACACACACACACGCGCACACACACACACACACACACCTTGAACCTTGAAACTGCCACCTAAAGGTGATGCAGTGCCTCAAAGAGGCAAGGAGGGCGGAGTTACTTCTTGCATTTGTGTTGAGCCAGGTACTGGAGACGTGTGAACTTCCGAGAGCAGGTCGGGCATGGGATGGTGCGGCGCTCGGAGCCAGAGCTGCATGTTCTGCGGTTGCAGTTGCAGTTGTGCTGGCGGTGCCCAGCTTTGCTCCGGAAACAGCGGTCACAGGTGTGGCAGTGGTAATGACATTGGCTGCACACACACACACACATACACACACACACACACAAAAAGTAAGAGGTGACACTCACCTCGCAGTTGGTTCCTCTGACACGACTGGAGGCAGCACCAGCACCAAACACCAGACCACCAGGTACTCCACACAAACTTGCAATTTCTGCCATGTCGTAACGCTACAAGCAGCATAGAAACACAATAGGAAGAGAACTGAGTTGCTGGCAGGAACATTTTTTTTAGCAATCTAACAAACTACGGTATTAGAGTTGAATCTATAACGGGGCACAAAGTTTAGCGTTTTACGAGAAAAGCCCGACGCTAACGCATGAAACGTTACTAGTGCCCTATTCCTTCTCTCCTCTGCACTAGAGCAATATAAGACGGGTGTGCTATGTGGTAGGGTCGTGACAATTGGTGTCCGGTATTAAAATGGGGAAATATTTGCAAATCGTTAAACTTTAGACTCGTCACGCTTTCAACTCAGTTGAGGGTGTTGAGAAGAAGAGAAAAATCTAAAGAAAAAATTGCCGTCATCAGGATTCAGGGACCTACACTATACTTTCATGAAAAAAAGCATCACGTACAAACATTAAGAGCGACTTCGATAAGTTTTTAAATTGCAGTGTAAACTTTACTTTAGAAGTACTGCAACTTTACTCTTTCACATAAGTATTATTCACAAGTGGGCTCCAGGCGAGACCTTACACCGATTTTTTCCTGAGTGGGCTGCGGAATGAGGTAGGGAGGACCGCCGACGTCTGCTAGGCATGTATCACCGCATATTCCTGCAGCAGACAACAACACAACAGCAGCAGCAATGTTGATAAAGTCCTCATGAAATATTGCGTCCATGTTGGAGGGGCGAACTCCACAATATCTAGCAATGGACTAATGCTGGAGAGGGCTTCCGCATTTTTGCCCAAAGTCACTAAACGAATACAACACAGTGTACTCTGTATTACACTACAAGAGCAGAACAGTCAGACCTGTCAGACCTGTAGAGTGAGGACAGCTCGAAGAGCAGTCCCATTTATTTTGTGTGCATTTTAGTATGCGTGGACACTTGAACGTGCGCGGACACTTGAACATGCGCGGACACTTGAACGTGCGCGGACACTTGAACGTGCGCGGACACTTGAACATGCGCGGACACTTGAACATGCGCGGACACTTGAACATGCGCGGACACTTGGCACAATGCATATATACACAGTGTATGTGGTGGTGCAGCATGTACAGTCAACTTTGCTTATAACGACTGCGGATATAACGACAATTCGCGAATAACGACAGAATTTCCATGCCCAGAGCAAAGTCCCATCAAACTGTAATACCAAGAGTAGATAAACAAGAGTGTGCAACTCCGGATCTCTCCTGCACAATCTGCAGATACCCCGCGCCCACGGCGGAATATTTTGTTTACGTCACCTTTTTTCAGAGAAACGCGGATTTTGCCGCAGAGCAGTGTGAGAGCACGTGCTGGGCACCGACCTTGTAGTGTAAAAGCCCAGCCAAGTGCACGAGGGAAAACTCTCCAAAAGGCTCGCAGCGCGTGCGTCGTCGAAAAGATTACGTCAACAAAAAATTCCGCCGTGGGCCAACCCATCCGCGAGTTGCACACTCTTGTTTATCTACTCTTGGTAATACATATAATAAGACTTCGGGTATAATGACACTTCGCGAACAAGGACACTTTTCTGATGCCCCGCCGAGTGTCGTTATACGCAAAGTTGACTGTACTAGCTGTGGACACCAGGGCATTACCTGGAGCAGCCAACGACCACGGTTTCTCGGTGAGGTCGGGGCAGTCGACGACCTCCGTCTCGACCGTCTGGAAAGTCTGCATCAGGCCTTCTCGAAGAGCTGCACACGTCAAGTACATGCCCAAACATACACACACACACACACACACACACACACACACACACACACCGGTATATGAACCATGGTCTATAAATAGACCGGGTATGTTCCGTACACACTACAGCATAACAGTGTATCCACTTTTTCAGAGGATCGCGTGTGAAAATAGAAACCAACCATGCTCAAAGCTGTGTTTGGATAGCAGATCAGGCTAGAGGCTGTAGTGTACGTGTAAATGCATGGCCCCGTAATAACTTTTGGCGTTCTAGCCGTCATGCACCGTCTCTGGCATCAGTATAAAGATGTGTGACTTCTTGCCGGACGGTGGTCTTGGCCCGCCATGTTTCAGACTGTGTTCTATGATAATGTTACGATAGTTTCTGTTGTTGCATTGTGTTGAGTGCTGAACCCAACATGCCAGGGGCTAGTTGAAACACAGTACACGCGGTCTATTGTAAACAAACAGCGAGGCGACAACTAAGGACTCCGGCAACGGGGATGCCAACGAAGAATTCCACCATGGACTAGACGAGCTGCAGAGTTGCACACTATTGTTTATGCACTCGTGGTATCATGGTTGAATTTTCACGTACTGGACTGGAGTTAAAACCCACTCGTTGCAGTCATGACGAGTACTGAGTAGGCGCCTCCAAACTCGTCAAACACCACTGTGACCAGCGAGTTTGGCGTGCTCACGGCGGGACTCAAACCCGTTCCTCGTTCGCGTGCTCACGGCGGGACTCAAACCCGTTCCTCGTTCGCGTTCCCGGCTTGCTAATGCATGGTCTCAGCTATACAATATTGTAGTGAGGGTCGTTATTGCGCAGTTCGACCTGCAACTTGTGACTTTAACCAGTTACCTCCCCTTTTCAAATACATGTACTTCTGTTCCACCATCAAACAGTGTTGTCACGTGCTAAAAATGAGGAGATATTTTAGGACACTAACCTTGCGCCATCTCCGCCAAGTCAGGCACATGCAGTGCCTGCTTCTCCACAGGAAGGTCAGACGCCATTCTGCACAAATCCTAACTCGTGTCCTTGAAAGAGGTGCAGCTTTCCTTTCTCCCTAAAATCCTAAAAGCTGGAATAGACTCAGGCACACAACCTAGCACAGTCAATAAAATTATTTTGACAGCTTCGTCCACGGTGCACTGCTGCTAGTTGTGGACAGGCGCTTGTAAGTGTAAGCAAAGTTGGGCAATGTCGACGAGAGCTGAAGGGTGGAGTCTAGGGGAGCCAACGCCACACACAGCAAGCTACACAGTAGTCAGTAGTCATTCACACTCACATGGCTTGTTTGATTAGCTCGATGTCTTTTCGTGTGTGTTGGAAAGCCTCCAAGGCCGCTTGAAACCTCGTTTGGCTCGGTTTTCCGTTTCTAAACTCCAACAGACTAGCCCGGACCCAATGAAATTGGAGTAATACTAGGGAAATACCCTCTCAAAATCGTCATTCGAGCTGTATTCATGTAACCATTCTCGAGGTTTGCATGCACGGACAGGATTTTTCTACTCGTGTTCGTTCGAGTTCAAATGCTTCCTGTTGAAACAAAGTCTTGCAAACACGTTCACTTCCGTGGTCCTCTTTCAGTCAAGCAAATCTTGACCAACTATTCTCACAAGGAAGAAAGTCTAAAAGTGTGCAGCATTTCTGAATCCTGACGGTGGTTGTAAGGAATTAAAATGAGGCTATCGCGCCAAACCATCAGGGCGAGTGTGTAAAGTGACAGACAGGATGGAGCTGCAAACTCTCTTTACGCTGGTTTGCATTATCCTGGGGTTGGCGATAATTTTATATGGGTAAGCCTGAATGAATTTGAGCTGCATCAAATTATTATCGCC